GGGGAATGACTCATGCCAGGTCATGATATTGTTCAGGGAATGAGTTATAGAAACTGCTAAGTTTTCTCTTAATTCTCATCTTAGACTGGGCTTGCAGGCTCAACTGCCCGTTTTCAGAGGCTGGTAGTGGTGGTGGTGAAGCTTGAGTGAGAAGGGCCCCAAGGGCTCTGCTTGTGGAAAAGTAGAGGGTAGTGGTCTTAGTGGTGGAACCAGACCCTCCTTGTCCAGAGTTGCAAGCGGCACAGGTTTACTGTGCACTGCTGACCTGCCAAGCATGTGTCCAGCTGAAGTGTGACTGTGAGGGATGGATCCTAGGCCTCTTCCAGAGTACACTCTGTGGTGCCATCAGCTTCTTTTCCTCCAAAGCCAGCAAAGTTACACACAAGTCGGTTGGTGGTTTCCCTGACAGAGTTAAGGTTCCCTGGAAGTGGTTGTCTTATGTTCATTTATACACAGAGGATCTATGTTGGTGTTTGTTTTCTTTACCTCCTCTTGCTTATATGGCTGTATAATAGCTTCTCTCTGCCTTGGAGATGCTAAGGAAATGCAGCCAGATTTGCCAATAGCAGGGCATCGTAGAGGGACAAGTTGGGAGAGGATAAAGGTGGTGAGTGATTTTGAATCGTCACCATGTAATCCATTATACCAAGTGAGCATCTGAAGGTGGGATTTCTGAGCCTCCCCCTTAAGAGCATTTCTTGGTCTCTGGTGGTGGGAAAACAGAGTTCTCAGGAATTTACAGTCACGTCTCACAAAGCTTGTTATAAGTACTAGCATTTCCAAAGTAACATGAACAGCATTGTCAACACAGATCCTTCAGGGTGGGTTTTTTCCTTTTTAAATATTTATTATGGAAATTTCAGATATGGCACAGAAGTAGGAAGAATGATGTTTTTACTACTCAGCTTTAATAGTTGTCATCATTTGAGGGATATCTAAAATGATAAATTATTGTGGGACTTAGTTTCTGAATTGTGGGTAAACTTGTGAAGTGCCAGACCTCTGTGCCCATTCCACCCTCCTGGCACAAGTCCTTGACATCTGCCTTTGTTTTGTGTCCCCCTTTCAGGTGGTGGTGGAGGCAGTGTCCCTGGGATCGAGAGGATGGGCCCTGGCATTGACCGCATTGGGGGTGCTGGCATGGAGCGCATGGGCGCAGGCCTGGGCCATGGCATGGATCGTGTGGGCTCTGAGATTGAGCGCATGGGCCTGGTCATGGACCGCATGGGCTCCGTCGACCGCATGGGCTCTGGCATCGAGCGCATGGGCCCACTGGGCATCGACCACATGGCCTCCAGCATTGAACGCATGGGCCAGACCATGGAGCGCATCGGGTCTGGCGTGGAACGCATGGGTGCCGGCATGGGCTTTGGCCTCGAGCGCATGGCCGCACCCATCGATCGTGTGGGCCAGACCATTGAGCGCATGGGCTCTGGTGTGGAGCGTATGGGCCCTGCCATTGAGCGCATGGGCCTGAGCATGGAGCGCATGGTGCCCGCAGGCATGGGGGCAGGCCTGGAGCGCATGGGCCCCGTGATGGATCGCATGGCCACCGGCCTGGAGCGCATGGGCGCCAACAACCTGGAGCGCATGGGCCTGGAGAGAATGGGCGCCAACAGTCTCGAGCGCATGGGCCTGGAGAGAATGGGCGCCAACAGTCTCGAGCGCATGGGTCCAGCCATGGGCCCAGCCCTGGGCGCAGGCATTGAGCGCATGGGCCTGGCCATGGGTGGCGGTGGCAGTGCCAGCTTTGACCGTGCCATTGAGATGGAGCGTGGCAACTTTGGAGGAAGCTTCGCTGGTTCCTTTGGTGGAGCTGGAGGCCATGCTCCTGGGGTGGCCAGGAAGGCCTGCCAGATATTTGTGAGAAATGTAAGTGGATCTTCAGGAACCTCGGTGGTATGCACAAAGGAAAGGGAGGAGACAGGACATCCGCAGGACTGATGGCACGTCAAAGTCAGGTCATGTCCTCAGAAAGGGAACTGAGTAGCATGCAAGACCACCTTATCACTGTCCCCAAAGTTTGGTGCTGGTAGAATGAGGAGGGAATGACGGCTTACAATACTCTATGCAGCAAGAATAGTGGTTTCTGTGAACCCACTGGGCTTCTCTGAGTACTAGGTGGAATAGTGAGATGAAGAACTCTAGTTTCCTGATCCCTTGCCTTGAAGAAGCACTAAATCTTGGCTTGACAATAGAGAGGAAAAAATAGCTGTATCTAAATTATCTGTACAAAATTGCCCGGTCTTAGCTACTATTCAGTGTTTCTGTGCCTGAACCACAGGCAGCTGTGCGTTCTGCTCCCTCTCTATCATGCTCCCACGGACAGAGAAAGCCACAAGGGTGTGCTAGTTTAGAACCTCATTCCAGAGAACTTGTTCTCTTGTTGATCATCTCAGTTGGAAGGTCAGCCAGTTTCTCTTTGTAATAGGAAATCGTTTAAATTGCCCTCAGAGACAGTGGGGATGTTCATACATTAGGATTTGGTTGAATCACTCATCAGTCTGTTCTTTTTCCCCCCTCAGCTCCCATTTGATTTTACATGGAAGATGCTAAAGGACAAATTCAACGAATGTGGTAAGTGTTTGAGAAAGGTTTTCTAGGTGCTTTCATATGTTGTGGCTTCAGAAATCTTAGCTTGTTGGTGGTGCATTTGAGTCATGGCAGTGAACCTTCCATCCTAGTCTTAAAAGCCACTTTCCATTTATTCTAGAGGGCTGATGGGACTTGCCATTTTTCTGCCTATGCAAATATTCAAGCAGGTTGTTGAGTTTCCTGTTATGTGTCAGACACTTTACACCTGTTTTCATTTCATCCTTAATCTTTTCTCTTCTTTTACAGTTTTTGAATAGAGATAGCATTGTCCCCATTTTATGGATGAGTCAGGCGTAGTCATGTTCGCAAGGTCACATGGCTTTTAAGTAACAGACCTAAATAAAATGAATACATCTGAGACAAGGTCTCTTTCTACCACAGTACCTACTTGGGTTGTGCCTCAAAGAGCTCTTGCCCGGCAAGTCCTGTGGGTGAGATTTTACCTGGCTCTGGCTACGTAGCTTTGTGTGGATGAGGCGGAGGGTCTGTAATTGTTGTTTTCTGACACACCATGCAACCATTCTGGGAGGCTCACTTTTTGGCTGATAGTAAGTTAAGTTGTCTGTGAGTGAGCCACTGTCTCTCATACCCACCACTTTTTTTTTTTTTTAAATACCTTGAGGATATGTTGAGAGAGAAACATCTATCAGTTGCCTCCCGTATGCACTTCAACTGGGGATTGACCCTGCAACCTAGTTATGTACCCTGACCAGGAATCAAACCCGCTATCTTTTTTGTGTACTGACACTTAAACCAACTGAGCCATTCAGCCAGGCCACTTCTGTTATTTTAATCATGTCAAATGGAGGCCTAGCCCTAAGCCAGAGTCTGGGTGGCTTGCTAGACAGAAGCTTCCTCTGTTCTCATTTCCTGTTTCAGTAGTGACTTAGATTTCACCATGATTGCTGCTTCTCCTGGTTCTTCTCTCAGGTCAGCTGTTGAGCCATAGTCTGCCTTCTTGCCCTCTGTCCCCACTCCTTAGTTTCCACACTGTCGTAGATTTCTGAAAAGTCAGATTGGGTCATGCAACTCCCCCTGGCCTCGGATACCTGGAGGTGATCCTTGGCCTACAAGAGAAAAGTCCAAACTCACAAGCTCCTGTACAACTTGGTCCCTTCCTCTTTCATCTCCCTCCTTGAACCCTGAGTTGCAAGTGCTGTTCTCCAGAAGTACTCTGTTGAGAGCTATTATCAGCAAGTCTTCCTCTGGTGAACTTAACTCTATTTCAGAACTTTCTCATGAGAAAGCCTTCCTGTTGACCCTTTCTCAGAGTTAATGGCTCTAGAGTTGTCTCTTAGCACTGGCTACACTATCATGTCCTGGGCAGTCACTGAAGTAGAGCCCTGTGTTTCTATGGCTTTTCTCCTGTGCACTTGTTTCCACGGTGCTTGACACATACCTGGATGCTTAATTAGTGCTTGAATGAATATGTGAAAACTGCTAATTATTAACACAGCTTATATTTGGACAGTGCAAAAGCATCCATCATATTGGTGATGGCCTTGTAAATGTGATGGTGTGGTGTATTGAAAAACAAAGCCTCTGTAAAATTTGCCTATAAAGTTGGTTTCATGGACGCCCCTCCTTTTTTGGTTCTCTTCAAAGTATAAAGGCCTGAATTTGAGGCTGCCAGGAAGGCTTATTGCGGGGCCGGTCAGATTATTTTCCTTTTGGCAGAAGAATGGGAATTGGGCTGAGGACTATAGTAGTTGGATCCCAGCCACTGTGTTCTAGGCATTCATGCACCAGGTTCAGGGGCCATTCTGCTCTCCCTTTTGACTCAGATGACCGAAATTCACAGGTGATTTGGACTGAATGGAGCCCAAACTGAGGCTGAGCTCTGGTTTGCCTGATGAGTTGTGATCTCTTCTTCCCTCCCTGTGCCCAGGCCACGTGCTGTATGCTGACATCAAGATGGAGAATGGGAAGTCCAAGGGGTGCGGTGTGGTTAAGTTTGAGTCGCCAGAGGTGGCTGAGAGAGCCTGCCGGATGATGAATGGGATGAAGCTGAGTGGCCGAGAGATTGATGTTCGAATCGATAGAAATGCTTAAGCAGTTGCCTTTTTTAAACATCGATACCAGACCTCTGAATTTGTATTTTTTCTTGTTAACCATTTTAATTTGTTGGCTGGGTGTATAAAGATGTTTAAAAAATTCAGTTGCTTTTTGGGGTAATTTGAATTACTTTTTTAATGACTGGGGTTCCATTTGACTGTTTGCATTGAGATTGCAATGTGCGCAATTTTTTTTGTAGTTGTGGCATCTTGTTGACATCAAATATGACTTTGATAATAAATACCAGTTCCTGAAAGCTGCTTGCTCTTTTGTGTGTGTTGTGGGGCCATCGCCTGACATTTGGGGAGCAGGAACCCCCTCAGTCTCCATTGTACCCTTGGAGCTGTGAACACCAGGAGTCTCATACCCATTCTTGCTTGTCTGTGGACCCTGCCACTTTAGGAACTAACTCTTTATGGAAACTATATCCTGAGTGGACTTTAATTCCCTTGTGTTGGTAATGGAGATGTGGCTCTTAGCTGTCGTAAAAGCTGTCCTGTCTCCCTTCTGTGCAGTTTCTGGGAGGGGTACAGACACTGCATCACATTCATTTCCAGTTTAGCTTTTGTCTTAGTCTGCTGTGGCTGCTATAACAAAAATACCATAAGCTGGGTGGTTTATAAATAACAGAAATTGATTTCTCAGTCTGGAGCCTGGGACGTCCAAGATGCCGGCAGATTCAGTGCCTGGTGAGGACCAGATCCTGGGTTCATAGTGCCTTCTAGATGTTATCTCATGGTGGAAAGGACAAAAGAGCTTTCTTAGGCCTCTTTTATAAGGGCCCTAATATACCTAATTGCCTCTTGAATTAGGGGTGGGAGGGCAAATATTCAGTCCACAGCAGCTTCTCTTTGCTAAAACCGACCTAGCAGGGTGTGAATTTCTGAGCATGTTTAGTCCTGTAGAGGTTCAGGCTGAACTTGATACTTGGGCTCTGTCAGAACTGGGTCCCCACTGTCATTACCACCACCAAAATGTGACCTCATACATAGGTCCACTTGGGCTAGACAGCTGTTTGTAGCCTGTAAGCAGCAGCAGTTCCTGCTTGTCCTGTCTGCATGTGGAGAGGTCACAGTATTGGATATGTCCTGCCCATTTCTCCATTGTTGCTGGCAACTGACGGGGATCCAATCACGGTGACTCAAACTTTGAATTCCAGCAGGGGACTAGTTCCCTTGCCACCTCCTCTTTGCCACACTTTTCTCCTTCTATCCCTGAGAGGTGAGAACATGAAGGAGGGGGTCAGCCCCACAAACCCCCAACTGTTTGATCATGGCTTTACACTGTGTGTGCCAGTCTGAAGGGAAAGAAAAGACAAGCAGTGGTGATAATTTCAAAGAATGGCTTTATGTGGGCCATACACATGGTCAGGCGTGAGCCTTGGCAGTTCTGTGACCTCCAAGCTGGGATTCAGGATTCCTGTGTTAGTGTGTGGTTTGGCTGGCGAGTTGTCCTGGGTCCCCACACCTGCAGGCCGTATTGTCCTCAGGGGAATGATTGGCTTTCTAGAGGGTCTGCAGAGGAGGAAGGGTAACTTCCAGTGACCCCCTCATATGCAGCTCCTGGGGGAGTAGGGTGGGGGCTTACCCCTTCCTGAGGCGCTCCATACCCTAGAAGCCAACGTCATCGTACACCTCTGTTTCCCTGGTGGAGAGCACAGTTGGGTCAGCAGAGGTCACCCCTGGGCCAAACAACACCCACCCCACCCCCAATCACAGCAGCACTCACAAGGGCAGCAATGCTGTTCTGGGCACGTAACCATCTGCAAAAAGAGCGGGGATGGGTGAGTTCTTGGCCTGGTGATACAGGACCTGTCTCCCCAGGGCTGCCAGCCCAGCTCACTCACACTTGCCCTTGGTGTCCCGGCACAGCATCTCCTCCTTGTTGGTGAATTCGATCACCTCCAGGATCTCCCCACGCCGGATCCCTAGGTGCTTTCCACCCCCACGACGTGTCTTGGCATTGGGGTCAATCATCATTCTTGTCTGAATCACAATCTCCCCCTCAAACTGGGGAGGGACACATTAGAGCTCTGGCTGTGCTGACCCCTCCACCCACCCCAGAGGGTCCACTGGATTGAGCCCAGCCCTCCCAGGGCTCTTGCTTAGCTTGGTGTCCACACCTTGAACTTCTTCCGAAACTCCCTCTCAGCTTTCTCCGCCTTCCGGATTTGCTTCAGGGCCTTAGGGTCCACAGGCAGCAACTGCTGTGGCTGAGGGGCATTCTTCCTGAATCCCCCAAGGAATTAGGTGCTTATGAGCAAGATGTACTGCTCAGGGGTCCCCTTCCACAGCTTAGCCCCTCCCTGCTTTGCCCTGTGGTACCTGAGCTTAGGGTCTTGTGGTGACTTCCTGGGGGGTTGGTGGATAGGTGGCACTTCATCTGTGACAGAACACCAAATTAGGGCAGGGGCTATCGCCTTGGCCTCTCTTGACCCTGATGGCTTGATCTTGAGTGAGCCTTCCCTCTATCAGTTCTCAGGACATCTCCCTATTCTGGCTTCATCCCTGTCCTACTCACTTGCACATCCTTTCCCCAGTCCTTTGTCCTGGGTTGTGAGTTCTAGTGGATTGCCTTCCATTTTCTTAACTCATGCTACACCCTAGGCATGGCAGAAACTGTTCACTGCTTCATTCCAACCCTCACAACAACCTTACTCATGACAGTAAGCAGTACTGTCATTTCCAACTTGATGATGTATAAAGGCTCTGAGAGAGAAAGTAACCTGTGGAGGCCATTTCATGTCTGGTGCCTAGAGCAGGTTGGGTTGTGGGAATTAAGAGATTTGGGTCAGAAGTGAGGCAAAAGCATTTCCTGGAAGCAAGCTAAGTCAGCTTCTAAGGGGCTGATGGGGTAGGGTTCCTTGGACTGGCCTGATGATGAGACTGGATTGTGAGACGTCTCCCAGGGTGAGGCAGATTTCCTGGCAAGTGACCGGCCTTCCCAGTAGGAGGCTGCTGGTCATGGAGTTGGCTTACAGTGAGAGCCTCATAAACAGGTGAGTGAAGGCTCCAGCAACTGAAGCCCCAGCTTTTTACTATCCTCTCTTTGCTTGGTGCTCTCACCCCTTAAGATACTGAGCTTGCCTCCAGCCTTATCCTGATGCTCAGATGATGGTGCCATCCATGGTCCCACCCAGAATACTCCTTGTAGCTGCTTCTATTTCTTCCAGAGGCTGCTCAGACCAGGGACGGGCACCCAACTGGGTGCAGTCCACAAACCCATTGCAGTGCAGAGCACACCACTGGGCCCTGGGGTGTGGGATGGACCTGGTGCACCTGTGGCCTAAGCTTCCTGGCAATGTGACCCTGAGCAGGCCCCACGGGGAAGTCAGGCTTCTGTGGATTGCCTGCTTGGATCCTGGGAAAGAGCTGGGCCTGGCCTCCAGCTGTGCAGAGAACCTTGAGTGGAGCAGTTATTGCTCTGGGTGAGGCAGAGAGGAGGAGAATAGACTTGAAAAGGACAAAGTGGCCTTTGGGACAGTCCATACTGACAGTGAGCCCCACACTGTCTTAAGAAGGGAAAGATCCAGGGAATTGTGATATTTTATCAGAATCTTGAAGTATGATTCAGTGCAGGGACAGTGAGCAGAGGTGGGGATGTGTCTGGCATGGTAGGGATGGGAAAGGGGGAGGTGTGGGCCATGTCTGCAAGGCTGCTGGAAGTGGAGTGGCCACAGGCATTCCCTGCCCCTGTCCATGTCCCCAGCAGTGATCCCCCAGAGCCTAGCCACAGGCTCATTGGAGCGGAAGCAGGAGGGGCCCTGTCAGGAAGCTCTGTGCTAACTGCTAACAGAGGGCTGTTGCAAGCAGCCCCTGGGGAAAGCTCATGAGAAGCAGCCACAGAAGCAGCAGACCTGGGTGAGGGGTACTAATGGGGAGGGAGAGGTAGCATCCTAAAGACACCCCTGATGGAAGGTTCTCCTGCAGGAGGTTCTTCCAAAGCCAGGGCAGGGAAGCAGTCTGGAAGCAAAAGGCCCAGGTTTCTGTGTACTGGCTGTGTGAACTGGGACAAGTCACCCCTCAGGTCCTCAAGCTTCCACATTTGTAAAGTGGGCATGACAACGCCTTGGATAGGGAGCTGTGCAGATTCGGTGACACGCATGTAAAGTGCTTATGTGGAAGCCATTTTTGTTTTTACTCAAGCTTGATGAAGGCATTAACCTGGGCTAGGCTGGAGGTGTGGGCCTGCTAGGCCAGCATCCTGCTCTCCAGAAGCAGAGACTTGGAAGAAGGAAGAAGCAAGGGTCCTTTGGAACCCCAGAGCACGGAGAGAGGTGCCAGGGACACACCCTGTGTCCAGGCCCAAGTCCTCAGGCACCTCCAACACAACAGTTCTGTGAGGGAACCTGACACCTTTCTTGTCCCCAGATGGCTTCACTCTGCACTGAGGTGCAAGGCAAGCTCCCTCACTCCCTCTTGCCCCTGTATAGTACAACCCCAAATCCTCTTGCTGCTTTTTACCTGACTGTTCCACTCTCAGCATGCTGGGCCACCATCCGAGGATGCCCTGGCTACATCATGCTCACTGGCTCTTGGCCTCTATGCTGCCCCCTTTACTATACTGTTCTGCCCATTGGGAACTGGTAAGACTTTTTTAAAAGGCCCCTCTTCCTCTTCCTTTTACTTTCTCCCCTGCATGGTCTGGGAGCAGTGTGGCAGAAAATGCCCTTGCAGCAGATGTATCCCAGGTGCCCAAGCTGGCTGGGTCCAGCCCACTGCCAACAAACCTTTGCCCTTGGGGCTGGGGCTGGAGTCTGTGGGCTCCACATCATCGTACAGCTCATAGATCTCCTCTGGGTCCCTGTAGGGATACCTGAGATGAGGGCCTCTTTCAGGCTCATGACCCACACCTATGTCCCCTTACTCCCCACACTCACTTCAGGATAGCCTTAGGCTGTTGGGCCTGGAAGTGGATTCCAGCAGAAGAGCGAGTCCGCCGCAGATCTGTGGAAAGATGAGTGGGAGGGAGGCAGGCACAGCCAGGGAGCCTTTGCCCCCCTTTCGTCCTGGGGTGCCCTGACCCACCTGTGGCTGCTGCTGAGGGTCTCTGAAAGCTCTGGACATCCTTGAAGACTGGGGGCAGCGGGGGTTTGGCTGGAGGGGGTCCTAGGCTGCTGACCGGAGGCAGAGGCCTCCGCTGGGGTGGGTGGCTGAGTTTGAGGCCCAGCCTTGATGCTCCACTGTGAGTGAGAACTCCTGACCTCTGCTGCCTGGCTCCAAACCCTGGGCTGAGTGGGAATCTGGGGCTGGAGCCCACAACAGCCATGGGCAGTGAGCTCTCTGATACGGAGCCAGGCAGTGGAGGCTTTCTAGAGGGATCCCCAAAGAACGCCTGCAGGGGCTTCTTGGGCAGAGCACTGGGCTCCGGCTGTGAGAACTTGCGGGGGGTCCCCTGGCCCTCAGGTTGTGTAAATTTCCTGGTGTGTAGGCTGACCTCGGGCTCTGAGGATGTCCTTGGGAAGCTGCCTCCCTTGGGCTTCGGGGGCTTAGAAAGTGCTTTGGATTCAGACTGCCGTGGCCTCTTGGGAAACACACAGACCTCGGGCTCTGAGGACGTCCTGGTGAGGTCACCAGACTCAGGCTGCAAGGGCTTCTTCGGGAGGTTACTCAGCTGAGGCGATGGGGTCTTTTTTGGAAAGGCACTCAAGTCAGGCTGTGAGAAGTTGGGGTGGGGTTCACTGGGCTCAGGCTTCAAGGGGGGCATCTGAGGCTGCTGGGGCTTTCTGAACTCAGGGTGTGGGGGCTTCTTTGGAAAGTTACTGAACTCTGGCTGAGAGGGCTTCAGGATGGCCTCATTGGGTTCAGGCTGCCAAAACTTTCTAGGGAATGTACTGAATTTGGGTTCTGTGGGGGGTCTGGTGGGGTTGCTTAGGTTAGGCTGCGGGGGCTTCTGGGAAAGTGCACTGGGCTCCAGCGGTAAGGCCTTCTGAGGGGCCTCACTAACCTCAGGCTCCAGGGGCTTCCTGGGGAACACAGTGGCCTCAAGCTGTGGGAACTTATTGTAGAGTTCACTGAACTCAGATTTGGAGGGTTTCTTGGGCAGATCAGTGAACTCGGGCTGCAGAGGCTTCCTGGGCACTGCACTGAACTCGGGCTGTGGGGGCTTCTTGGGCAGATTAGTGAATTCAGGCTGTGGGGGCTTCCTGGGCAGATCAGTGAATTCAGGCTGTGGGGGCTTCTTGGGCAGATCAGTGAATTCAGGCTGTGGGGGCTTCTTGGGCAGATCAGTGAATTCAGGCTGTGGGGGCTTCTTGGGCAGATCAGTGAATTCAGGCTGTGGGGGCTTCTTGGGCAGATCAGTGAATTCAGGCTGTGGGGGCTTCTTGGGCAGATCAGTGAATTCAGGCTGTGGGGGCTTCTTGGGCAGATCAGTGAATTCAGGCTGTGGGGGCTTCTTGGGCAGATCAGTGAATTCAGGCTGTGGGGGCTTCCTGGGGACTGCACTGAACTCGGGCTGTGGGGGCTTCTTTGGGAGATCAGCGAACTCAGGCTGTGGTGGCTTCCTGAACTCAAGCTGCAGAGGCTTCTTGGAGTGCTCACTGGGCTCAGGCTGTGGAAACTTCTTGAGGAGTTTCTTGAACTCAGGCTTTGGGGATTTGGGGGGGAGTTCGCTGGTCTCAGGCTGAGAGGCCTGGAATTTTGCCTGAAGGTTCCGAAAGTCCTGATGGCTTCCCTAGGGGACACAGTCAGTCAGGAACTGGAACACACAGGAGTTGTGGAGAGACAGACATGGAGACACATGGACATGGTCACAGACACACACCACACCTTCCCTCTTGTCCTTTCACCTCCATGTCTCCAGTCCCTTCTGTTTTAACTGCAAATTACATCCATAATCCAACCACTTCTCACTGCCTGCAGTACTGTCACCCACCAGACACACCTTCCGGTTGCCTCCTTCCTGGACTCCTGCCCATCCGCATCTCTCATTAGTACCCCACAGCAGCCAGAGGAAGCCTGTTAACCCTGAGTCCCCAACCTGCAAGATTTTTCTTTTAGTATCTGCCACCATGTATCATATTTACATCACTTGTATTGTTTTTTTAAAAAAATATTTTTATTGATTTTAGAGAGAGAAGAAAGGAGAAGTATATATATAGAGAGAAACATCAATGAGAGAGAGGCATCGATCAGCTGCCTCCTGCATGCCTCTCACTGGGGATCAAGCCTGCAACCTGGGCATGTGCCCTGACTGGGAATCGAACCAGGGACCTATTGGTTCATGGGTTGACACTCAACCACTTAGCCACATTGGCCATGCACTTACATTGTTTTTTAAATACGTGAGCAGTGACTTGGCTCATTCATTGCTGGCCTCCTAGTGCCTGGCACACAGTAGGTATTCAGTAACTATTTGTTGAAATAAAGAACATAGAGGGCACAAAGTCTGGCATATACTCAGCCACATCCAGTCTGACGGTCATAGACTCACATAGATAGATGCAGAGACACGTAGGGACCTGGAGGCAAATGTGGGTGTACAGTTTCTCACAGTCCCAGATGCCCATGCTGATGGTTGGGGACATTCACAGTCAAGAATGCCTATGAGAAATGGTAAGCAGGCCCCCAAGCACAGGCACAGTTGGGCACTGTGCCATCTATGGCACACGTCTGTCCCAGGTACAGTGCTGACCATCCTGCACCACTGGTTATGCACAGGCAGATGCACAAACTAGGTCACGCCTGCTCTAATGACAAGTTCCCCAGAGGTGGCCCTGCTACAGGCCCCCAAGCCTGGCTTCACCGGGGGTCAAGGACATTGGGGGAAGGAAGGGAAGGGAAGGGAAGGTCAGAAACGCATGGCCTCTCCCTCGGGTTGTGTTTCACTTTCCTATCCAGAGAATGTGAGAAAAGACTGCAGCTCTTGTTTAAAATGCCTCTGTGAAAGGACCCCTTCCTGGTGGGTTGGAGCAAGGGATCCTACATGACCCACAGGGCCAGAAGGTCACACCCTGAGGTAACTGGCCAGGGTGGGGGCAGGCAGTGGGTCTCTGACCCAATTTGTAACCCTGTGCTCACCCTGGCTGTCCCTTACTAGGTTGCTGTTCATGCTGACCTGGGGGGAAGGGAGTAGTCTCAGCAGTCTCACCAGTCCCACTTTTAGTGCAGTCACAGCCTGCACAGGCACAGGCCCCTTGGAACTTGGACTGTCCCAGTAGTGTGTCCCGGGCTGCTTCCCATCTCTGGGCCTCTGTGTTGGTCAGACCTGTTTCTCAGGTGGCTTTTCTCTGCCACTCTACTCTTGGATTGGAATATGCCCCCCCCCTCCAATTTCCTCCCATGGCACCCCTTGCCTCCAACTAGTGGGGGCTTTCCCAGGGCTTGGAGACTCACCATGACAGCAGGCAGGTGATGGGGTCACGGTGAGAGTGGGAACTGAGCTGGGGCTTTTGCTTTCAGGAAGTGACTGTGGCTTCTGCTCCACAAGGCCATATGGGTGGAGGGCAGAGAAGGAAGGAAAGGAGGCGGGGACAGTGCGCGCATGTCCCTAGATCCTGTCCGGCACTTCTTGAGTTCCTGACCTGCCTGCTACTGTCTCTGCACTTCATGCACTGGAGGTCAGCACATTAACAGTCACTAGTTTCTTGGCTCTCTACTGTCTCCCTCCCTCTCAGTCCCACCACATGCCCTGCTAACCTCTGGGGTCCATGGAGGACTTGGTGCCAGACCCTGACGACCTCCTGCCAACAGAGGCAGGCGAAAGCCTAATTTCAGCCAGGGAGAGGGGGCATAGTCTGCTTTGGGTGGGAGATCCAAGAGTCCAGTGAGTGTGATGGGTGAGGCCTTTTTGCTCATTACCTCATCTGCCTTCCTCATTTTAACACTTCCCTGTGGTCCACTTTCCAGCTCTAAGCAGGACTTCCCTGTTGCAGGGGCAGATGTCACATGGGGCTGTGGATGGCTCACTGCGATGGCACATTTGGGGCAGGTAGTATCCAAGGCTTTGGCGCTGGGGAAGGAGTCTGAGGACACCCCATGTTCCCAGTGGACAGAGGATGGGAGGAAAATCAAGACAGCTGGGAGGCCAATGAAGAGGAGGCAAGACTGGTGCAGTTAGGATGTGAGACCCAGCCAGATAAGGTCCCCAGGAGGTCAATCTATTGGGAGAGTGCAGAGCCCTGGTTCTGTCTGGCCATGCATTGGGATTGCTTGAGGAATTTACAAAGAGATAGAAGCTCCCAGAGACTGACTTAATTGGTCTGGGTGTGGCTACTCCTAGACACTTGCTGCGTGGTTCTAATGTGCAGCTAATTGAGAAGTACCGGTGCCCATCAGTCACCGGCAGTCCCCATTGCTAAAATGCAGGGTCTGCCTCCAGTCAGTGATGGAGTCTCAGATTCTGCAACATCCCAGGTGATGCCCATGCTGCTGGTTTAGGATCACACCAGGCGTAGCAAGGACATACAAGTTTTGAAAGGATCCAGAAAGAGCCAGTTGAGACAGGGAAGGCGGCTCTTTCTGTCTTGAGGACTTGAATTACCAGTAGGAGCTCTTTTTTTGCCTGCTCTGCCATGAAGGCCACAGGAAGCACTGTTGGACATGACTACCTGTATGTCTGCTTTAAGAGCACAGCCTGAGGATTCTGGAACCTCTGGACCTGTGCATTCTGGTCCCTGCACATGGACATGCACCCTCAGTCACATTTCCAGATATGGGTTCCCCTCTGAACAGGGGTCTCAGAAAGCCAGGGGTGTTGAGGTTTGAGTCCTCTCTGGGTCTCCAAGACCAGCCAATACAGGCTGATCACAGACTGCCTGACCCTCACAAGTGTTTGGTAAGGGAAAGAATGATGAATGAAAGAACAAGGAGTGATTGGCTGAGAGCATACAAGGTAAGCTGAAGGTCTTAATGAATGACAGCCAGTGACTCCCCAGGCTCTGGGAAGGCTACTGGGTGTGGACACCTCCAGCTCAGAACTCTGGAGTTTGGAGGGTCCCTCCCTGGCTAAGCCCCTGCGGGAAGAGCGCATTCCAGGAACAGACCCCCACTCTTTGTGTGTTTGGCACCTTTCTGGAGGCACGAAGCCGAAGCTGTGAATGTGGACCTGTGGCTGCACTTGGAGCTGTGGAACAAGAAGCCAGGAGAAGTGAGCATGGTCCAGCATCTGCCTTGGGGAGTTGAAGGTGTTAGTAAGGGTTCATCGGGACAAGTGTGTGGAACTCTGCGGGCTAGGGAGGGGAACTGCCAAGGTTCTGAGCATACACGGGGAACTGAAGCTGGTGTGCTTGATTCCTTTGCAAGAGCCAGGAGCAGTGTACCTAGCTTCCCTAATGCAGGTGGGGAGGATGGGGGCACAGCAGCTGGTGCAGCCACATAGAAGAGGAAGGACTGAGCACGTGGGCAGTGGAGGAATGAGGAGGCCAGGATGGGCGTTTGTACCTGGGTCAGGATCCTTCACTTCCCCTTGTCCAGTCTTGGGTGAGAGTAACCGAGCAGGAACCCACCAGCAACTGAGCTGGTACTGGACAACTGCCAGGTGGTGGACAGGCACTTGGCTGGCCTCATGGGGGCTTAAGCCGTCTGGAGTGGCTCAGCCTGTTCAACATGAACCTGCAGTGTCTGGCCCACCTGCCAGTGTTGGGGCAGCCGCAAAAGCAGGGTGCGGGTGCTGGCCTGGATTTGCAGGTTCCAGGCATTCTCCTTCAGACTGACACTCCTGGGCGCCCTCTGCTGGGCTTGCCCAGGCCCTAAGAGGACTCACCTTCCTGGCATTCTGGAGTTGAGGTGGGGTAGGGGGACTCTCTGTGGGGTCAAAGGTTAGCCAGAGGGAGGGCAGGGGCTTCTGGAGCCTAGAAGGGACACTGGGAGCAGTAATGCTTCTCATGCAAGCAGACAAAAGGTTGTATATGAGTTGGGAGAGGGTGAGGGAGGAGGTTTGGAGGGACCAGGGTGCCCAGGCCAGGTGGTGACTCAGCTGCCTAGACCTCAGGGCAGAGTTCCCACTGCCTCCAGAGGGTGGCAGGATCTGTGGGCCCTTTGTACTCAAGGGAGGGATGGGTGTGGGGGTGCATGTGGACCAAGATATTTGCTCTGGGTCTCTCTGGAAAAGTCCTGACAGACTGGGGAGTGGTATAACCTGGACTTGGGGGGTGGATGAATGACTTGATGAGGAAGGAAAACCACTGGGGGCTGGGGAAAACTGGTACACTGGGGATGAGTTGGGAGCCTGGGGAACAGGAACCACTAAGTCCTGTTCCCTGGAGATGCAGGAAAGCCTGGGACTAGGGCCAGATTTCTCAGGGTATCTATGGGCCTTGGGAACGTGGGAAAAGGGGAGAATGCCTGGGTAGTAACTGTGCCCAGCTCCCAGAATGGTGCAGAATCAGTGACCTGCAGCTGGGCTTCACTAGAGTCAGGGATCAGTCAGCTTACCCCCCTAGCCTCATCTTCTCTATCTGTAAAATGGGCCCCTTGACCCTGCCTTACCTCCTCCCCAGGTTCTTGAAAAGGTCCAGGTAGCCATGGGCTTGGTGGCTGAAGGGATGCGAATTACTTGCAAACATTTCACAAGTTCCCTCCACCTCTCCCTCCTCATTCCCTCTTTGAATCCTAAGGACTCCAGGGATGAGCATAAAGACACTCATTTTAAGGACTACACAAGTGAGATGTAGGGAAGCTGAGTCTTCTCCAAGGCTACACAGCCATGGCTACAAGGCTTCTAGCTGAGAAGGGGGAAGCTCAGGGGGCCCTGGAGCCCCATCCCCTGATGGCCCATCTAACCCCACAGCGGGTGCTGAGTAACAACCACCTGAGCAGGGGCCTGGAGGTGTTCTCTCAGGTGCTCCCTCAGGGGATGTGTGTCCCCATAGAGGAAGAGGAGGAGAAGGGAGGAGATGGTTTGAGTGGCCCTGGGAGGGAATGGGAGGTTCAAAATAGCACCTTGTGGGCTACTAGGAGAACAGGATCTTCATCTAGAGAACTGTGGGGAGCCACTGAAGGGTATAAGAAAGGGAGGGTCACAATCAGAAGAGATCCTTTTTCAGGGATGTTCGGGCTGGGGGAAGGGTGGGAAGAATTGCTTTGGGTGTCCCAGGAAGAGTAGAGGGTTGAAGCCTGGGCCAGGAGTACCATGGGGCTGGAAGGGAGCAAGATGCAGGAGGTAAAATCAGCCTGAGGGGTGGCTGTCAATAACACATGGACTTCTGTACCAGGAGGCTTGGCCCACAAGGTTTTGGTGACAGCAGGGCTGAGACAGCAGTGTGGAACCAGTTTGAACCCTGGCCCAGACCTGACTTCCCATGAAGAAAGGGAAGAGGAGGACCAGGATGGCGTTGGGATGAGGGAAGGGAGCTCAGGCTCTCCAGGGCTGACCTTGACCTACTCTCAGAGCTGGGGCAGAGGGAGAATCCAGGAGGACAAGGATGAGGCCCAAGTCCCAGCCTGCCAAAAAGCACCCAGCTCTGGGGGACCTGGCACTGCCCTCCATCCTGTCACCTCCCTGTGAGTTATCACTGGCCTAAGGACCTGGAGGGTTCCAGCTGGGCCAGTCTCAGCACTTTCTCAGGACCAGCCTCCCTGTCCTTCTCACTGACTCCCAAGACTTAAGTAAGTAAATTGCCCCACTGGTGTGGCTCAGTGGTTGAGCAGTGACCCATGAACCAGGAGCTCACACTTCATTCCCAGTCTGGGCACATGCCTAGGGTTTTGGACCAATCCCCAGTAGGGGGCACTGCAGGAGGCAGGTGATGGATGATTCTCACTGATGTTTCTCTCTCCCTCTCTCTGAAATCAATAAAAATATTTAAAAATTTTTATTAAGTAAATAAAACTGGAAACTCCCATCCCATCCGGTTTCTGGAAGTGATAGAACAGGACCGTGGGCAGTGGCAATACTGAGCTGGAGACTGGGTCCCAGTGTTGAGGTGACAGGGAATGTGGGATACAAGTGGGTGGTGAGGGGAGGCCTGCCCCTCCCCAAATGGGGGACGCCCAAGACTGCTAGACAGGCCGCTGTGCATCAGAGGGTAAGGGACCCAAACACAGCATAGGCCAGTTCATCGCGCCTCTTTTATTGCCCCCCCCATCCATTGCCCCCTAAAATTACCCACACCTCATGACCCATCCTCTCTGCAGGGTTCAGAGCGGCGAGAAAACTGGACACTCTCCCTCTGACAGCAGCAGCGACACCTTGGGTGCAAGCGGGGCCAGGTCTAGGTGGGGCAGAGGAGGAGGTGGCTGAGCCTACGCCCTGCCCCTCCCCTCGCCTGAAGGGAAAGGAGGGTGGGGATCCTCCCCACCCCCGAGCATCTGGGCCTTACCCGCCGGGGCATCGGGGCGTGGCCCGGGCCCCCGGGCCTCGGGGGCGATGGGGCGGTGGTCCTCCAGGTGTAAGGTCATGGCGGGCCGAGAGGCCGTGGAGAAGGCGCACTGCATGCACGAGTAGCGGCCACGCGTGTGCTCCCACACGATGCGGCCTGGAGCCGCGTGCCCTGCGGGCAGGCGGGACCCTGTCAGTCCGGGCCCCAGCCGGTCTACCCCGGAGGACGGTGGTCAAAGGACAGGGCGTTTCGGACCTTTCTCCACTCCCCATCAGCTCGCGGGTGCCGAGGGTCTGGCCTGGCTGATCCATTTGCCCCAGGTGTGTACCCCGCTGAAATTGGGGGCATTGAACTTAACTTCTGTGTTCCCCATCCCCAGAACCCCCGCAGAGCGCGAGCTTTACACGGAAACGCCGGTGTAGATGAAGGCGCGGGGGCCGGTAATTTTTAAGGCAAAAATCCTGTATTTGGGGGCTGGCACTGCTGCCTCCTAGAATCTCCTGGGCTTGGCAGGGCGCAGGACAGAAACCCCCTCCATCCCGCCCTGGTGGTCACCTGCACGCACCTGAGGGCGCATCGGAGCCGCCCTGGGGTCTTCGAGGGCTGCCACCGGCACCTGCGGTAAATGGGCAGGTCAAGGTCAGAAATCCGAGTTGCCCAGCCCACCCTTATGGCGGCCCTGCCCCTACACTCACCTTGACTCTTTTTCCAGATGGCGGTGCTGGAGGCTGACAGTCCAGGCGCGGCGGCCAGGAAGGGGCGCAGGCGCGGGGGGCTTAGGCCAAAGGATGCGGGGTTCAAGTAGGGCAGGAAGGGCCCGGTGGGGGCAGGGGCGGGGGTCGTAAAGGGCTCGAGTAGCGGGAACTGCAAGCTCGGCGCTGACTCCGGGTCAGACTCCGTGGGGCGCTCGGGCGCGGACGGCTCCTTGTCGAGGGCAGGGGGTGGCGGCGGGGCTGGGCTCTGCGCATGCTCGGCGCAAACATGCAGATGCTTGAAGAGCGAGCGGTGCGTGCGGAAGCGCAGGAGGCAGTTCTCACACCTGGGGGCAGGCACAGGGCTGGCTCGGTTTCCTGGGGGACCAGGGTGGGGCCTATCGGTAGCATGGTAAGGGAGCCCAGACCCAAATCACAGATCCCACCTTCGGGGTAGAAGCTTGCCCTAAGAGCCCCCTACTGTGACCGTGACCCTTCCAGACCCCTCCAGGTCGGAGCCCTGGGAAAACGAGTAAGGGGTCTCAATCTTGATCAGCTTTCCTCTTGGGAGGTAATGAGGCTGGGCGGGGCCATACCCATGTGAGCCCCACCCCTTCGGGTCCCTGGGACTAGCTCCAGGTACCAGTCTCTCTAGGGTAGCGCTTGCCCGAAGCCACACCCACTTCCAGACCCAACCCCCTCCCCCACCCGACCCCTGACTAAGAAGTGGAAAGGCCTGAACCCCAGGTTCTGGCTACCACACCAGGAGCAGGAGGAGCAGCCTGGGGACTGGTCACCGAGGACCAAAGGAGACTGGGGTCGTCAGGGTCTCACTTGAAGTAGCGATTGGGTTTGTAGTGCAGCTTGCCGTGTGCCACCAGTTCCTGCATGCTGGGGAAGGTCTCCGTGCAGTTCAGGGCGGAACAGTGGAAGAGCTTGCCTGGCAGGGCAGGGGTGGAGGACAGAGGAGTAGAGTAGGGTGGCCAAGGGTCAACTTGGGAACTCTGCCTGCCTCCCACCACCTACCCTGGCCCTACCTTCCAGGGACTGTGTGGGTGGGCAATGGGTACGCAGATGCTGTGCCAAGTCACGAACGCTTGGGAAACTGAGGCAGCAGCCAGGGCTGGAGCAGAGTATCTGCTTTCCTGTAGGATGTACACAGCGGGGTCACCCATCTCTCTCTCCCACCATGAGGACCAGGGCTCTGCCCCAGGAAGGCATATCCGAGGCTGGAATTACCCTATGGTTTCCTACTGGGGCCTTTACCATCTGCCTCCTTCATCAACTGAGCTGCCAGAGAGCAGGGGCTGAGTTGGTCTGGCTCATCATTGTAGCCACAGCCTGGCACAGGCGTGGTGCTCAGTAAATGGTGATTCTCTCTAGGTAACCCCCAAGTATGGAGATACTCTGCACTCCTCACTCCTATTGTTCCAGGGCCTGTGACCCCACAGAAGGCCCCATCACAGGTCACCTGGTGGTGGGCGTCGCCTGGGTGGCCGAAGGTCCTCACTGGTCCCGGATACTGTGCTGGTTGAGCCAAGGCTGGGTCCAGGGCCAGGTTGGCCACTGTCTGGGGCTGAGGAAACACCCTGCTGGGCCCCTCCAGGACCTCCACATTCCCACACTGGGGGTGTGGCTGTCTGGTCAGGACCTGACTCCTCCCCCATGGAGAAAGACGTGGCTGCAGCAGCCACACCTGGGGACACCACTTCCTGGTGGGTCTCACTGGAGCGGGGCTCTGCAGTGACCAGCATGTCTGGGCTGAGCCCAGAGGGTTCCTCCTCCTGGTGGAAAAAAGAAGTGGGAAAAACCCCTCTGGGCCCACGGTCCGCTGGGGTCAGCCAGGGTAACCCTCCCCCCCAAAGACCGTTTTGCATTCCTGAAACAGTTAATGGCCCGAGACAATATCCAGTTAGCCCCCTCCTAAGGAGTTACCATCGAGGGAGGGCAAGGGATGAGGGTGGATTGAGCTCCTGCCTCTTGTCTCCATGCCCAGGAAGGGAGCTAGCAGAAAAGTGTTCCAGAGCAGCAGTGGACATCTGACAGGAGTTGCTCATATCAAAACTGCATTCCCTCCTCTCCAACTTGGGAAGGTTGGAGGCCCCCTATGCTGCAGGGGCGTGGCCTAGAGGGAGTGGGCGGGGCAAAGGGTATGAAGGCGGGGCTCTGAACAAAGCCGGGCTAGAAAGATGCTGGTGGGGCCGGAAGTGGCAAAGTGGATTGTTTGAGGACGTAGATGTGTATCTACACTCCGCGCTGGAGCAACGCAGGCGAAGTTGGAAGTGCTGGGGGCCCGGCAGTATAAAGCCCAGGGGCGGAGCCCGAGCCCAGTGGGGGTGGCCCAGTCGAATCCAGGCCCGGAAGTAGGGGGTAGGGCGCTCGCGGAATGACAACTAGTGGCGGGGCCAGTGCCCGGATGTGGGGGCGGGGTCGGCCGGAGGGTGTGTGCGCGACAGGACCGCTCCCCGCCAGTCCCCGCTGGCTCGCCGCACCCGCGACCCCAGCGCCGCGCTCACCATCCTCGGCCTGGCTAGGCCTCTTGTTCTCGCAGCTCCCGCGGCTCCAGCTGAGGCTGCGGCGATTCCCTGGGCGGCCGCAGTCTCGCGCTCACGTCGGCGCCATTTTCCGCCTCCGAGCTCTCGCGAGAGCGCGGGCGGGACCTCGCCCGGCGCTCAGTGAGGGGGCGGGGCCTGCGATCTGTGGCGGTCTTGGACAGCAGAATAGACCTGGTGGCGGAATTGCAAACTGAGGGCAGTTTTAGCAGTCTGTGCGTTAAGATCCGGGGTTAAAATCTTCCCTGGCCTGTGTATTCGTCTGCAAAATGGGTATCTTCATCCCATTCCGTCCCGTCACCAGCCCTCGAAAGGCGGTAAACAACGCTTCTTTTTGAAGAGGTCGTGTTGAGTGGGCACCCTCTTTGGAAAGAAACAGGCAATGGTCGTCAAAATTTTTCTTAAGCCTGGCGTGGCGTGGCTCAGCGGTTGAGCGTGGACGTAGGATCCAGGAACTCGCGGTTCGATTCCCGGTGAGGGCACATGCGCGGGTTGCCGGCTCAATCTCTAGTCGGGGGCGAGCAGGAAGCAGCTGATCAATGACCCATCATTGATGTTTCTCTCGCTCCTTCCCCCTTACTCTCTCTGAAATCAATAAAGATATATTTTAAAAATACATATATTTAAAAAGAAAAAAATTTAAAAATTTTATTTATTGCCCTGGCCAGTGTGGCTCAGTTGGTTGAGTGTCATCCCATGCACGGAAAGGTCACTGGTTTGATTCCCCGTCAGGACACATATCCAGGTTTTGGGTTTGATCCCCCATGGGGCTGGGGCTACATAGGGTCGGCAACCAATCAGTGTTTCTCTCTCCCCTTCTTTCTCCTCTCTCATGGATTGATACTCAACCACTGAGCACTCTTGCCAGGAAAAAATATTTTTAAAGAAAAATTTATTGATTGACTTGAGAGAGGGAGACAGCTATCGGTTGTTCCACCCATCCTTGCATTCATTGGTTGACCCTTGCACGTGCCCCTACCAGGTTGAGTGTTCCATCACTCAACCTTGCAGTATAGGGTCCATCCTCCAAACAACTGAGCTACCTGGCCAGGGCAGTAGTCAAAATTTCCAGTGCACTTAGTTCTGAAGTTAGAGTGGGTCCCGTTGTGGTTGCTAAGGGTGGGAAGCAAACTAACTGTCAGGAGAGGTGTGTTTCCAGGAGGATGGTACTGGGTGTACCAGGGTGGAATGAGCCACCTATTCAATCTACTGTGTACTAGGTTCTAGGGACTCCGAGATGAACAGTACTGACAAACACCCCTGCCCTCAGAGGCTGCTCACATTTGAAAAAGGGGATATAAACAACAACAGATGCAGAAAATGATCTTAGGTTATATCAAATGCTACAAAGAAAAAAAACAAACAAACCCATACAGAAGGATGTGACAGTGATGGGTCAGGGAACCCCTCTGTGAGGGGACTTCTGAGCTGTTGCCTGATAGGAAGGAGTGAGCCAATGGAAGGTCATGGGGCCAGAGCACTCTGGAAAGAGTGAGTAGGTAGCTAATGTAAATGTCCTGAGGTGGGGCGGGATAAGCATCTTTTTCATGGAACAGTGACATTAGTGTGCTGCTGGAGCAGAGTGGAGGCAGGATGTGGAGGTCAGAAAGTGAACATGGTGCAGAGAGGGTCATACAGGGCCTTGTGAAGTGGAGACCAGAGTGTGGTTTCTATTCCAGACACTGATGAATTTTCAGCAGGGGGATGTACACCATCTGATCCCTGACTGTCCTTTGGAAAATGGGCAATTGGGGGAGAGTGAAGTGGGTCTTTGATATCAGAGCTCTATAATACATTATTTAACCATTCAACAGGTGCCTGAGTTCTAGGCAAGTATAGACTATGTCCATTGTAATTATGTATACATAGGATTCAACCTGAAAGCTAGGTATGTGCCCCGACCAGGAATCAAACCCTTGACCTTTTGGTGTACTGGACGACCCTCCAACCAACTGAGTCACACCGGCCTGGGGAACCTGTGTGCTTTTATGTACAGAAAATACTATTACAAGGAGACATTAAAAATTGGGGAGGGGAACAGGGATTTTTGTGGGAGAGATAGATTTTTCACACCTTTGTTCAGTTTGAATTTATTTATTTAAAATATGTTTTTATTGATTTTTTTTTAAAGAGAGAGGAAGGGACAGGGAGAGATAGAAACATCTATAAGAGAGAAAGATCGATTGGCTGCCTCCTGCATGGACCCCACTGGGGTTTGAACCCACAATCTGGGCATGTGCCCTGACCTGGAATTGAACCTGTGACCTCTTGGTGCACTGAGCAACACCAGCCAGGCCTGCAGTTTGAATTTAAAAACTTTTCTTTCTTTTGATTATCTTTAATACAGTTAAAAACTTAAAAAGCAGATCATTTTGATGCAGGGTGAAGAGGGGGGTGTGTGTGTGTGTGTGTGTGTGTGTGTGCATGCACCCACGCAGGGGAGATTGGTGCAATCTGGGGAATGGTGGGGTATGGCCTCAGAAAGGACAGGCACCCAAGGATGGGAACAGAGGGGCTGGATTTAAGAAATTTTGTAAAAGAGTCAACAGGATGTGGGCTGTGTGGGTGGGGCCAAGTTGACAGATTTGCAGATGCTGTAACCTAGATGTGAAAGACTGTCTATTAGACTTTGTTAAACGTAACTCCCTTCTCCCTACTCAGCTCCCCACCCAAACGTTATTCACCCATCCTATCCAGAAGGTCCTACTTCCTGCTTATGTGGTGCCTGTCACAGTGGTAGTGGGGCCATGGGGCTGTACTCCAAAGTGCTGGGAGGGGAGGCAGGCTGCAGGATGAGTTTGAGGGCAGAGAAGGGAAACAAAGCCCTGATTTCCTCTTCAACACCAGTAAATGCCCAGCTGATAAATTCAGTGCCTCATGTGGGTTATTCTCCCCTCCGCTGTTCTCACATTTAAGTCTTGCAGCAAGAGATGCACACAATGGTGGCTGGGCAGAGTGAGAAAATCAGAGATGGAAGGAACCAGGGACACTCAAGGGACTGGCTAAAAGCTTTTATATAACGATTGACTAATAAAAGGGCTGTTGAGACCCAGTTGCAACCTTGGGATTTTTTTTCCAGCCATACTCAGCTTCCCTAGGTAGGTGCAGAAGAGAGAGGGTGCAGATCCTGCAAAAGGCCCAGCTGGCCATTCAGGCCCTGTCCCTTCTCTGGCTCAGTCCTGACCCCACCATTCTCCAAGACTGGCTGCTCTTTGAGGGGCTGAACACAGAGGAGGTGTCCATCTGGAAAGCCAGGATCCTTAGGCTGAGACAATGGCAGGACGCCTAGCTGGTTCCAGCTGCAATTTTAAGGAGTTCTCAAAGGCTCAGACTTCAGCATGGGTTTGGAGACAGCTGGGGAAACCAGTTTCCAGATGTCCCCTTCAGCAGTGACCATAAATACAGAAAGCCAGGGCCCTGGAATGTCAGAACCTGTCTTGACCCCAGGTGAATGAGGGCCAAGGCGGCACAGACATGGGGTGGGGGTAGGGAACAGGGGTGGCTAGGGTGGATTGTGGGGGGCCATGTGGGACCTCTCTCCTTTCTCAGGGTCCAGTTAGGTCCTAAATGGGTTTGGGGCTGCAGATTCAGATCTGACGGGACCAACTGGACCATTTTCTAAAGGGAAGCTGGGATGCAGTTTCTGGAAGCTGGCAAGTGGACAGACAAGCTTTTTAAGGCTTGGCTCTGTGGAATCTTGGGCAAGTGACTCAACCTCCAAGCCTTCATTTTTTCCGCCTGTAAAATGGTGCGTTTGTTGCTCCTACATCACAGGGTTCTGAGAAGTTTGGCGCTCAGTCAGTTCATACTTCTACCCGGCAAACATTTATTGCCTCAGTGGAGAAGGAGGGAGGTCACACTCGTCAAGGCCTCCCTACTTTGAGCCGTGCTTTGCTGATAGGACATGACTCATTTTATACTCACAAGGTAGCTGGGAGGTAGGTTCTGCTGTTAGCCCTGTGTGCCACAGGTGGAAACGGGTGTGACACGGGAGGCCAGGGCCCAGAAGTAGCTGCAGTGGTGACCCCTCAGACCCACCCAGAGCCTGGACTGGACCAGGCTGGACCTTCTGGTTAATGCAACCAAGGGAAATGAGACCCCTGCCAGCAGGGCCTGGCTCCCTGGCAGGAGGACAGACAGAATCTGGGCCCCCCATTCAGATCTTCTCCACATAGTTTCCGGGGAAGAGGCCCTCCTGGCCATGCAGCCGGCCTTTCCACCAGCCTGATGAATCTGTGGGAGAAAAGAGAGTGTGAGGCACCACCCAGCCCACCCCAGGGGAAACCTTCATGCTGGCTCAGTGTCTGTCTTACTCATTTCCACTGACCTGGCACAAGGCAGAGGCTGAAGAGAGTGACAGATTGAAGGAAGGGAGGGAGGGATGCACACGTGATCTTTCCTTGTCACTGGCTCACAGTCTTATTTCAGACCATTCACTTGCACTCTTCCCTCATCTCCCACAGGCCCCTCCCCTCAATCCCTATGGTGGACCCAGGAATGACCCCGGTGGGGCTTCCTCACTCACTTGCAGAGGCTGCTGTTGAGTCCCAGGTCCCTCTGGGGGTAGCCCAGGGGACTAAGTTAGGAAGTGGCCTGGGCCATCCAGACATGGCCCATTTCCTACTCACAAGGGGTCTCTGAGGTTCTGCTGTTAGCCCTATGTTTCACAGGTAACAAAAATGAGTCTGGGGTACTAGTGTGATGCAGTGAGGCCAGGCTCCCAGGTGGCTTAGGAGGTGACCTCCACCGAAGGCCTCTAGCTTATGTAGCCATTGGCTCAGAAGACGGTATCCTGGCTGGGCGTGGGAGCCTGCTGCCCATCTCTTTTCTCCTGTTGGATGGGCATGCGGTAAAGGGGGCTGCCTGGCTGTGTCAGGGCTTTGGCCCCTCCCACCTCTGTCCCAGCACACACACCTTCCATGAGGATCTCAATGACCTCATTGACGTTGAAGCTCAGCTCATCCACGTCTTGACCTACATACTGGTACAGTGCCCGGCACCTTGGACCATGTATCCGTGGCTGGGGCTTGGGTCGGCCCACACCAGGCACGGGCCGCTGCCCCACGCTGCGCTTCCTCTGCATGCTGTGGGCACAGGGGGTGTTCATCAAAGCCCTAGATACTCCCACTGCTTGCTCACCTCCTGGGGCTGCCCTCCCACCCCACGTACCCAGCCACTCCCTGATCAGGCACGTTCAGGAATTCGGTGTTATGCTCAGAGGGGGGCCGTGCCCGGGGCCGTCTGCTGGCCGTTAGGGCTGAGGATGGAGGGCCTCGGGGAGGTCGCTGAGAGCCCCTTCCAGATGTGATCTCCAGGGGCAGGGGGCCCCCTCTGGCAGAGGGGGGCACCCCATTGCGGTCCAGACCTGTGGCAGGAGCAAGGATGGAGACATTTATTAGGGTGCTGCTAGGAGTATTTGGGGAAGATTTGACTCCAAATTCCCAGTCTGAGAGAGGAGGCAGCGACACTCTCAATCCAGTATGGTGACTGGGCCAGAGGGCAGGACCCAGAAGCCAGGAGGGACAAGAGAGAGGTTCTGCAGGGGTAAGATTTCTCCCCACCCCCTTCTGTAGGAGGGCTTTTTTGGGTGGGTCTTGGAGGATGAATGGGAACTCAAGTATAGTGAGAATTTGGGAGACAGGCAGAGTAAACAGCCCCAGCAAAGGCCGGGTGGTAAGAACAAATTTGGTAAGTTGGCAAAGTAAGATGTAGCTTGTATGACAGGAGTGTAAGATGAGAGGAGAGGGGGTGAGTGGTTATAGCAGGGGTTGGATTTTGAAGCGCTTTTGAATACCAAACTAACCTTAGCCTTTATTATGTGGAAGACGGGGAGCTATGGAGAGTTCTGGACAGAGAAGAAGAGAGTGGTCATCTCTGCTTGTTAGATCTCGCTGACAGCAAGTTTGGCTTAGGTCATGGAGCACACAAGAGGCAAGGGAAGACAGTGGGGGGCATCTCCTCACCTCTGGGAGGTCCAGGGGCTGCCCGGGAAGGGGTCTGGGCCGCTCTTCGAGGTTTTCCCTGAGCCATTCCTTTACGTGTAGGCTCTAAAAAGGATTCGAAGGTGGGGGCCAGACCACACCAGACCCTTGGCCCCGCCCACAAACCTGTCTTTTCTGGCTCCGGCCCAGTGCCCGCCCCTTCAGGCTCCCTGGCTCCGCCCAGCGATGGGCCCCTCTTCTCCGGGACCACCCCTCACTGGCTCTTTGGGCTCGCCCACTCCAGGGCTTGCCCCCATCCTTTAGCCCCCTCACAGGCTGCCTCTTGGGCCACGCCCCCTTCGCATTTCTCGCCCAGCCATTGGTCGCCTCCTCCAAGTCTTTCCAGACCCGCCCCATGGCCCTCTCCCACTCTGGGCCGGCTCACGGGCTCCTCCCGTTCAGCCGCGGCCGGTCCCTTGCTGGCTCCGCCACTCGGGCTGCCACCCCCAGTTTTGCGCAGACTCACTGGAACTTTTGGGCAGCCCGTCGCCCACGCTGACTGCGAGGGCTCGGCTGCTAGCCTTGAGCACCGCCACGTCCCCGGAGCCCCGCGAGAAAGTGACGCTGCGGGTGCCACCTCCGCCCCAGCCCTCTTTCTTCACCCGGAACTGTAGTCTGTGGGGAGAGGAGGAAGCCGTGTGGGCGCCGCCTCCCAAGTAGGAGGCCCCCCCATCCTTGCCGGGCCGGGCCCGGGGGTGGCTGAGCAGTTGCGCCGGTCCGTGGGGTGGGAGACGGGGGGCTGTGCCTAGGCTGGCGGGAGGGTGATGGTGGCGGCGGGGGAGGGCCGTACGTGTCGCTGAAGGTGAGGGGCAGGGGTCTCCGTGCTGCCTCCTCGAAGCGCTTGCACAGCAGGCTGACGAACTCGGTCTTGAAGATGCTTTCCAGGAAGCTGTCGGCCGCCTCTTCCTGGAGGATGAAGAAGTCGTCCTGCCGCGTGCTGGGGGAGGGCAGGAGGAAAGGCATGTGGTAGTCACAGGCGAGGGCGGCAGAAGGACCGACAGGTGAGATGCAGCCGGGAGGGTCAGGTAAGGGGCAGGTGAGGAGTTGCACAGGTAGGGGAAAACGGAGAAGTGGGAAGGCGCGGAAGGGCCAGGTAAAGAGTCAGCTGAGGGGACAGGTGCCGTTGGCAGATAAGGATCATGAGTGTGGGGGCAGGGGAAGGCGACAGGGCCAAGAGAGGGTTATATGTATAGCAGCAGGTAAGATGGTCAGGGTTACAGATGGGATGACAAGTATGAGGACAGCTGAAGGGGCAGGCGAGGGTGACTGGGGAGCAGGTGGGTGCCTGGCCTCACCTGAGGGAAACTCCCCGCAGGGCCTGGATCTCCAGCTTCTTCTTCAGGACCTCACGCACCTGGCCCTTCTCTGGTCCCTTCTTCACCTTCTCCCGCCCGATCACATAAACACACCTGGGCGTCAGGATCAGGTCCCTCTTGATGGGCTGTGAGGATGCAGTACCAGAGGGGCTGATGGCAGGACCCCTGGGCATGGGGATCAATTGCAGGCAGAGGGGTGGTGCTGGCAGGTCAGGTGAGGGTGTCCCTCCGTGTAAAGGTATATGAGTGGTTATATTATAATAAATAGGAGGCTAAGTAAGGGTATAATGGCTAGAAGGGGGTGTTTGAGCTGGTACAGGATGGGTGAAGGTACACCTGCTGGACATGGGCACCCAGGCCAGGTGAGAGTACCTGTGCATAGGTGTATCTGTCTGGGCCAGGTGAAGGTATGTCTAGTTGACAGATCAATTTAGACTGGGTGAGGGTGTGTGTACCTAATGAATAAATGTGTCCAGGATAAGTGAGGGTGATCCTGTGGTCAGGGCTTCTGGGTGAGGTAAGTGTGTAATTGTGGACAGATGTGTCCGCCAGGTGAAGATGCATCTGATGGACAGGTGTGTTTGGGCCACATAAGGGCATATTTGATGGACAGATGTATCTATGTTAGTCACACATATACCTGTGGGCAGGTGTGTCCTGGCCAGATGAGAACATATCTATGATGGGATAGGTGTATCTAGACTAGGTGAATATATACCCGTGGAAAGGTGTGTCTGGGCCAGGTAAGGGTGTACCTCTGATGGGGGTGCCAGGCTGGAGCCAGGGCTTTGGACATACCCACTTGCTAGTGCCTCACCTTGAAACGGCGGTCGTACTTGGTGACCGAGTCAGCGAAATCCACTCGCTCCCGCTTGCCCAGGAACTGACGCAGCTCTGGCCGCTCCTCCAGTCCCAGGTAGTCCCCAACAAAGTTCCGATTGATGCTATTTCGTCTCCGCTCCTTCTTGTTCAGCAGGATGTTGGAAGCTGTGGGCACACAGAGTGGGGGGCAGAGGTTGTGGCTTGGCTCTTCCAGGTACATCTGTCTGCACCCTTAGCCTCCCACCTGCAGCCTCTCACCTTCCTCCCGCATCTCCTCATACTTCCGGATTGCCACGTGGCGCCGCCAGGCCTTCTGGATGGTGCGGGCAAAGCCATCAAACTTTCGCTCTCGCATCTCCTCTAGAAGGAAGAGCTGGGCGAGATGGAGGGGTGGTGGGTCCCCAGGGCCACTGTCTCCAGTTTCTCTCCAGCCCACTTCACCTACATGCTCTTGCTCAGGGGCACCTGCACACATGCTACCACACTATGGTCAAAATTTCCTTCCTCCGCCCGGCCGGGCGTGGCTCAGCAGTTGAGCATCGACCTAGGGTCCAGGAGATTGCGGTTCAATCCCTGGTCAGGGCACATGCCCAGGTTGTGGGCTCGATCCTCAGTGGGGTGTGTGCAGGAGGCAGCCGATCAATGACTCTCTCATCATTGATGTTTCTATCTCTCTCTCCCTCTGCCTTCCTCTCTCTGAAATCAATAAAGATATATTAAAAAAAAAATTCCTTCCTCCAAATGACATGACCCAAGATTCCCTCTCAATATGTGGCACAAGCCCCTGCATTAAATTATAACTGGCTTGTCTGGTTGGGTTCAAATCCCAGCTCTGCCTATTATAGCTATGTGGTGTTGCCAGAAATGGTATAACATCATGGTTTCTCACACTGCTTATTAAGCTGTTATGCCTTTCATGTGAGGTGCACCCCAACTTCAGAGATGTTAGAAATGTGAATCAATGTGCATTTTAGAAAAACAAGATACTATAAACATGAACATCTGACATATAGGCTTGTGATGTGACTGGCAACTATGTGGTTGTGCCGTGTACAACCTGCACAGCCATACATGGTGGCCTGGGAAAGGAATCTTTGCAGAAAGCAGACTTTTGAAGGCCTTTTTTTTTTTTTTAATCTTCACCTGAGAATATGTTTATGGATTTTTAGAGAGAGAGAGAAACACCGATGTGAGAGAGACATACTGTTCGGCTGCCTCCTGTAAGCACCCCAACTGGGCATAGAACCTGCAACCTTTTTGGTGTACAGGAAGATGCTCCAAACAATTGAGCCACCTGGCTGGGGCCAGACTTTTGAGTTTTAAGGGTCTTGATTCGGAAGTTGCTTAGGGAATAAACTGTATTTGACCCAATCAGAGTGGAAATTCCATTAAAGATATTTGTTTATTTGGAATAATAACAGGTGAACACATCAAGGAGAGGAACCCACTGGATATGAAAGGTTATAAATCTACAGTGATAAAATCAGTGGGGTGCTGGCCAAGGACTGGAACAATCAATTGAAATGGGACAGAAGGCTGGGAAATATCCTAATTCAAACATACATATAGTGGTAAAAGGGACAGCATTGTCAATCAGTGAAGATGGGAAATATTGAAAATGAAATTGGGCTTTATTTAGAAAAATAATTAACCACTCGAGGGGTTTCTCAAATACACAAATATCCATCACTGCTCAAAGCCTGGCTACCCACCTTGCTGACCAAGGTGGTTGATGTCTTCCAGAAACCCCAAGATTTCCTGCAAGGACTAAAAGAATTCTACAGATACTTGGTTCAAATGCACTTTAAAAATATATCTTGGAGGATTTTTATAACTGTGGATGTTTATAACTGACTGTAAAAGGTTGGGAGTCTTCTCACCAGGAATTAAAAAACAAAGTCAACATTGCAGTTTTATATGTATGTGTTCTTTTGTTTCTCTAGTATTCTATGGTTGGTGGGTCTGTATGCAAAATGTGTCCAGGTAATGCCTTATATAGGTTGTCTGGAGGGCAGGTAAGTGCATTCTATGGTTTGCTGAGGGGGACAGGTATGAATAAGGGGACATCAGCCTGCAGAACTGAGAGTGAGCCAGTCAAACAGGAACCTTCTTCCCTTTAGCTGTTCAGGAAAATGGGACAAGTGTCCCTAACCTTGTGATTTCTGCCCAGTAAAGAGGATTTGTTTTCAATTTGGGAAATAGATCTTCCTGTCTATAGAGTTAAAAATGCATCTCCTTTATGCTGCAGAGGGCAAGGGTAGGTGTGCTTAAGGGGACTGAGACAGGACCCAAATCGGAGGTTATCCTGGAGGACTGGGTTGAATAGGTTCTCCCCCAAAATTCATGTCTACCCAGAACCTGTGAATGTGACCTTACAGGGGTCTTTGCAAATGTAATCATGTTAAAATGAGATCATACTGGGGTAGGGTGGGCCCTAAATCCAATATGACTGGTGTCCTTAGAAGAGGAAAATTTGGACCCAGACACAGAGGAGAAGGCAATGTGATGGCGGGCAGATATTGCAGTGATGCATCTATAAACCTAGGAATGCCATAGATCACTGTCAACCACCAAAGGTTGGGGTGGTTTCTGTTGGGTTAAGCCATCCAGTTTGTGATACTTGGTTACAGCAGCCACAGGAAACTAATATACCTGAGATGATGGGCACTGAAGGCCAATAGGTGTGTAACACATCCAAGAATATTTTGTTTCCATGTTTACAAGAAACAATCCAATTCAGAATCATCTCACATAAGTGCATTTGTGGCTGAGAGAGGCTCCAACTCCATTAGGTTCACTAAATTCCTTGATCAGTTTTTGATATAGCACAGTTAAGCTGTTTGTTTGTTTTTCTGTTTTCATTTCACTAAAATTATTCTTACCAGGATCATTTTTATTTCCTGTGCAAATTTGCAGGATTTTTTTTTTTTTTTTGTTATAAAAATTTCCTATCAACCTTTTACTTTTGTGAATTTTATTATTCAAATTGAAGTCTCAAAATGTGCAGACCACAATTTTTGTAAAAATTTGATTTTCCCTTCTGTAGTTTTAGCCAGAACTAGCTTTATTTTGTCTATTTTTTTCCAGTGTCAATATTATGTTTCAGAGTCAGATCGTACAGTCTGGCAGTAACCAGCAAGATAGATTCTCTCTCCTGCCCATCCTATTTTCTTCCCCTCCCTCTCTCCATTTTTTCTTCTTCTTTCTTATCTGTTACAAATTGAATTGTTTCAGGTGTAATTTTAGCCATGGACAATTTTGGTTTGTGATAAGTTTCTGTTAGTAACAATATCTACTTTGAATGTGACTCCAGACTTTTTATATTTTGGAGCAAAGTACATCCATAGGAAAAAGCTGTAGGAGGTAGATGTGGACAGATTTGGGGACAAAGATCCCAGCCTCCCAAGACAGGCTGTTTCTGTAGCTGTGAAATCTGGAGAGTGTCCACCCCTGTGTTGCTTTTGGTTTGGTGAGAGAAGTTACTTGTAAGTACAGTAAGGTCAAGGCAATCATCTCAGCAGTCTCCTGGCTGTCTGCTTCAAGTCCCAAAGGTGCCAGCAGAACGGGTGCTATGATCGTGCAGGCGCCGAGGCACCTGGCTGGCCCTTCCCTGCCCCCCCAGCACACTGTTCCCTGCTGTTCCAGCTTACCCCGGACTGGGGAACTCAGCATCCGCCTGGGAGCCCGGTGAACTAGTTAAGCTCACTGAGGTGGTCATCTCCCTGTTTGCTTCCCAACCTCACATAGAAGCAGGGTGCTAGGCAAGCACTTAGGGGATTCCTTGCCCTGGTTTTTGTTGATCTCGTCGTTTTTTTAAGAACTTCCTTCGGCTTTATTGAGATATAATGGACATATAACACTGTGGAAGTTTAAAAGTGTATGTGAGTTGATTTGATATACCTATATGTTGCAAAATGATGACCACTGTAGGTCAGCCAACACCTCCATCACCTCAACATAGTTACCATTTCTTTTGTGTGGTAAGAACACTGAAGTCTTAGCAACTGTCAAGTATATAATACAGCATTCACTATTGTCACTGTGTACATGAGGCCCAAGGACAGATTCCTCATCATTGCTTTCTTTGCTTTCTCCCTGAAAACAGAGGCAGCATAGAGTGGGAGTGCTTCCAGCCTTTTGATAAAGGGCTGAAAGCTGATGATCGCTCTTTGGAGGGGGACTGTTCCTATGCTGGAGCACGTGCAGTGAGGTTTGTCTTTGATATATCAGGACCCGAGGCTGGTTGTGGATAAGAAAGCTGCCACTTTGCTCAGCCGGTGTGGCTCAGTGGTTGAGCATCGACCTGTGAACCAGGAGGTCACAGTTCGATTCCCGGTCGGGGCACATGCTGGGGCTGCAGACTCGGTCCCCAGTGGGGGACGAGCAGGAGGCTGCCGACTGATGATTCTCATCATTGGTGTTTCTCTCTCTCCCTCTCCCTTCCTCTCTCTGAAATCAATAAAAACATATTAAAAAGAAAAAAGAAATTGCCACTTTGACATGAGTCTCAGGCTCAGGGACTCGATGTGTTCATGAATAAAGGAGTGAAGGAAGAAAAGGGGAAATAGAACAGGACAGGAAAAAGGAGAGAAAGGACATGGAGAAGGGAGAAAAGAAAGAAAAAAGAATGGGAGCTGGACAAAAGGACATTCTGGACAAGCCCTGAGTCCTTATGCTTTCCAAGGGGCTTGTCATCTCAGGCAGCTTGTGTTTCTCTACCTGCTTCCTGGCCACCAAGGACTGTCCAGCTAATTTAGGTTTTTCTGATCACCTACTACGTGCCAGGCACTGTGCAGGGGATTTCCTGTTATGTCTAATCCTCACTCCAGTCCTGAAGGGAAGCTGTTCCTCTCCTCACTTTCCAAATGGAGAAACTGAGACTCAGAGGGGTGAGGAAACATGTTCAGGGTCACACAGTGGCCTAAAGAGCAGGACCTGAGCCTGTGCAAGTGATTCAGGCGTCTTGTCTGTCTGTCTCACACACACACTTACTGATTCGGGGTTCTTGACAAAGACCTTGGTGCTCCCCATCTGGTATTGGTCCTGTTCCATGTTGACGGCACGCAGCAGGTGCTGGACCCCCTGACGCTCGTCCCCATGCCAGCGTGGCCATGTCTGGGGGGTCAGAATGGCATACCTGGTGGCAGAAGGTTTGGGAGGGTTTGAGGAGATGGTTCAGCTGGTGGGTATTCTGCAGGTGGCGGTTAGGGCCAGGAGTGGCAGGGCACCTCACCTCTGTAGGAACTTGGCGAACTGGCGGCGGTAGGCAAAGCCTGCCCGGCGCACCCGGATGTTCTCCTTCAGGCCCAGGTACTCGACCTGGTGCTTGACCCTGGAGGGAAGGCAGCCTGAGTCCCATGCTGGGGGCCTCGCCAGTCCTAGGAGTGGGAGGGGTCTGCTGGAGGCAGTATGGGGGCTGAGGTCTGGGAGTTTAGCCCTGGTCCTAGAGAATCAGTTCTGTGGAGTGGGGCCTGGGTTCTGGGAGGAGGAGCCTGTGTTGGTTCTGTGGCCAGTCACTTCTAGAGTGGGTCCTGGGGTCTGGGGACTGTGCTAATCTCTGGGTTATCCTCCAGTCAGTCTGGGGCCATCCCTGGGGTCTGCGGGGGTCTTGGTCAGTTCTAGGTGTAACCCGAGGCCCTGAGGGCCTTTGCACTAGTCCTAGGGGTCAGCCTGGGTTAGTCCTGCAATGTCATACAACCCCAGGAGGGTTCCGGGGGGAGGGCCATTCTGGGGACACGCAGTGTGGATTGGTCAAGCTAGGCTAGGCATCACCTGCTCTCCTCCCAGTCACGGGGCCTCTTGGTCTCGTTGGGTTTGATGCAGCGGATATAGTGGGGTGTGCACTTCTTCAGTGTGGCAACCAGGTCGTTGGCTTGTTTCTGAGGCAGAGGAGAAAGCAGCGGGGTGGTGCACAGATGGGACCCTCTGGCCCCTTTCTCCTCCCACCCTGGATACAGCCCAGGAGACAGAGACACACTGCGTGTGGGGAACTGCAAATGTTTGTTGATGGAGTAACGAAGCCCTCAGGGAATTCATGTCCCTCAGAACATCCCTACCTGTCCTCCAAGACTTTGGAGGTAGAGAATCTTGTGTGTGTGCTGGAGAGGCCAGCCCTGGCTATACATTTTAATCCCTCTGTGGAGACTAGAAAGGAATTAGTTCCAGGTGGGGGGTGTTTGGAGAGATAGCAGGAGACCCTGGTGTTGATCGTGGCTCTACTGTGTGATCTGGGCCAGTGACTGCACCTCCCTGAGCCTTGGCCTCCCCCATCTGCCAGGTGGGACTAGTCCCACATGTGTAAAGTGTCCTGAATTTGCTACCAGCACTGACAAGTACTCAATACGTGGTTATTAAATATTACTAGGATGGTACACCCATGTCCACAGCAGCACTGTTCACAATAGCTAAAAGGCAGAAACAACCCAGGTGTCCATCAACAAAGGGATAGATAAGAAAAAGCAGTGTATGCACACAATGGAATACTATGCTTTAAAAAGGAAGGAAATTCTCACGCTATAACATGGATGAAACTTTCATTATGCTAAGTGAAATAAGCCAGGCACAAAAGGATAAATACTGTATGATTCCACTCATAGGAGGTCTCTAGAGGAGTCAGATCCATAGAGACATAAAGTAGATGGTGGTTGCCAGGGGCTGGGGGCTGGGGGTGGGGAGTTAGTGTTTAATGGGGACATAGTTTCAGTTTGACAAGGTGAAAAGAGTTCTGGAGATGGATGGTGGGGTTGGTTGTACAACAATGGGAATGTACTTAATGCCACTGAACTGTATGTACACTTAATGGTTAAGATGTTATATTTTACATTATGTATATTTTATCACAATTTTTAAAAAGTGGCAAATGATCAAAAGACAAAAAAAAAAAAAAAATTAAGGTGATGGTCTACTTCTGAATTTGGGGAGTTAGGGGCCTGTTGAGGAAGCTGGTCCAAGCCCCATGCCCCAGAGCTGGAAGAAGACCCTTCTGGACAGGGTGCCAGAGACAGGGGCAGAGGGCCTGGAATGCAAGAGAGACAGACACCGACCTCCACATGCCCAGCTCCTCCTTGCCTACTCTAAGGCTCACCTTGATCTTGGAGCCAGCAGTGCTGGGGCGCCCCTTCTTGTCTACATCCAGCTTCTCAGGGAAGAGCATCCGGAGGAAGGCACTAGGCAAGGAGAGAGAAAGGGTTGGAGGTGCAGCTGGATCGTGGGTTGCCCTCTCCCAGAAGTGGGGCTGTGATGCAGAGGGCATCCTGAAAAGCATAGTTCTTTCTGAATGTGGAGGGTGAGATGTTGACAATCAGAAGGTTGGTTTTGTCCTTTTGGTTCCTTGATTGTTTGCTCTGTTACTTCTTTCATGACCATGCATGACTTGGTGGAGCAAGTAAAGTAGGAAAAAGTTAAATGAAGTAGGAAAATATATCCAGTGATGCAGCACCTTCGGCAGCAGGGGCAGGACCCCTTGCAGGAACCTTCTTACATGTAGGGCTTGCATGTGGGATGTGGGTGCTTGCTGCTGTGGCCCTGCTGTGATTGTCAGAGATGGACACAGCCTCAGCGTCCATCATCAGGGTGTCAGTTAAGTATGCTTTGGTACATCAGGCTCCGTCTCTCATCTCAGGGAGACCTTCCCTGACCACAGAATGAGTGGACTGCTTAATATGTATCTAGTTCCAGCACTTTTCCATCCATTTTGGGGGATGAAGAAGTGCTGGAACTAGATAATGGTGATGGTTGCACAATACTGAGAATGTTCTTAATGCTACTGACTTGTATACTTTAAAATGGTGGAAAGGGCAATTTTATATTATGTGTATTTTATCACAATTAAAAGGTTAAAGGAAAAAAAAAGAATAGTGCCCTCTCTACTCGCTATCCCTTTATCAACTTAGTTTTTTTCCACAACACTGGTCCCAATGGTTCTCAGACTTCAGTGGGCACCAGAATCACCAGGCAAGTTTGTTAAACACAGATTGCCTTGCCCTGCCCCTTGGGTTTCTCAATCACAGCCCTGGGCTGCCGCCCTGTAATTTCTAACATGTTCCCAGGGGATGCTGATGCTGCTGGTCCAGGGACCCGACTTTGAGAACCACAGCTGTGTGCCTTCCAATGTGGTGGCCGCTGGTCACATGTGGTTACTGAGAACCTTGAAACTCGGCCTGTCTGAATTGAGATGTACTGTAAGTGTTAAAATATACCCTGGATTTCAAAGAATATGCAGTATGGAAAAAGCGAATGTAAAATATTTCATTAATTTTTAAATATTGATTGCTTGTTGAGATGATAATTTTTTGGGTATGGTGATTTAAGGAAAACATTTTACAACTTCACCTGTTCACATTTTTACTTTTCAAGTGTGCTTACACAGCACACTTTAAAATTTAAAATTACAAAGGCGGTGGGGTTGGGGATTGCCTGCAGTTCATCATAGGGGGTCTTTATGGGGTGATGCAAATGTTCCCAATTGGACTGTGGTGATAGTTGTCCAAGTCTGTAGTAAAAATCGCTTCTTAAATTGGGTGCATTTCATGGTATGTCGATTATACCTGAATAAGGCTATTATTTAAAAAAATTGCTTATGTAACTTGAATTCTGTTAGGTGTGGAATGTATTGGACAGCACTGCTCTAGATCAGCGATTGTCAACCAGTGTCCCACAAGAATTTTTAAAACTTGCAGTGCCTGACTAGTCAGGGGCACTGACATCTTTTCCCTTAGATTGTCAAATAAAAAAATCACAGCCAACACAACAATAACTGTCCAGTGTCAGTGAATCAAAATTATACCTGTTTTGGTCAGATTGGCAAAAAATATAATTATTTTTTGGTGTGCCTCAGAATTTTTGTAATTAATTTATGTGCTGTGAGATAAAAAAAGGTTAAAAATGGCTGCTCTAGACCAGTGAATCTCACACTCTGATTTCCACATGGGTCCTGGGGGTGGTGGTGAGGGTCTTGCTAATAAAATCCAGATTTTGATTCCGTCTGCTTGGGGTGGAGCCTGGGATTCTGCATTTGTAACCAGCTCAGACGAGGCCCATGTCGCCGGTCCAGAAACCACTGTCAGCCCTTTCAGAACCACTGTCTGTGCTAGATTCTGTTGGCTTTTTCCCTGGTTCAACCTGCCGGCTCGGTGAGAGCAGCTGTGTTCTCTGACCTGTGTCATCCATCCTCACAAGTTCAAATTGTGCCTGGTCCCCAGCAGAGCTTGAACAAAATTTTGAGGTATAAAAAGTCAAAAGATGGCCTGGCCGGTGTGGCTCAGCTGTTGAGCATTGACCTATGATCCAGGAGATCGCGGGTCAGTTCCCGGTAGGGGCACATGCCCGGGTTGTGGGTTCGATCCCTGGTAGGGAGCGTGCAGGAGGCAGCCGATCATGATTCTCTCATCATTGATGTTTCTCTCTCTCTCCCTCTCCCTTCCTCTCTCTGAAATCAATAAAGACATATATATTTTTTAAAAAGGTCAAAAGATGGTACCTGGCATGTAGCTGTGGTCAGGGAGATAGATCCATATGTGTCAGTACAGAAAAATGTAGGGTGCGATGTGTTTTCATTGCATGGAAAGGGGAAGCTGTCTGCACCAAATGCTTGGGTTTGTAGAGCGAGCACTGGAAGGGTTACTGTTGAATCAGAACCAGCCACTAGAAATACTGTCTTGGCCACACAGCCACCTTGACAAAGTCTGTGATGTGATGGGAACTCTGGGAAAGATGGGATGGTCCCCGGGTCTCCTCCATCCCCAGGGGTGGGTTCTGCCCAGATGTCCCCACGCCCAGGACCACTCACTGCTCACTGGTCTGCATCAGCTCTATGAGGTCGGAGAAGAGAACATCTCGGTTCCTCTCGCAAAAGCCACTGACATCATAGGAGACCTGAAGGGAGAGGCATGGGAGGAGTGAGGGGCCGAGGCCAGGGTGGGCAGGGGGGCGTACAGCCCAGATGGTCAGGGGGTGCTGCTCTGGGGTGAGAGAATGGGGGGTAGTAGCTATGGTTCAGAAGAAGGGGTGGGGCAGCAGCTTGGGCCTGGGGTCCCTGTGCGTCTGATGTTCAAGTTGAAATTAGAAGGTGGGAGCTGCAGTCTGGGTCAGAGGTGAGAGGAGCTGGTGTTACAGTCCAGGCAACCTGGATCAGAAGCAGGGGGAGGTGATGGTATAGCCCAGATTTGGGGGGGCTGTAGCCTGGGCAGAAGGTCCCCGGGGTTGAGAGCTGCTACTTAATTTGGAGTTAAAAGGTCAGAGCATCTGTGTTGTAGTCAATTGAGGGGATGGGAGGCTGTGTCAAGGGGAAAGTTACAGAAGTGGCTGGAGATTCTGGGGGACTTCAGCAAGGCTTGTAGGCTGGGTCTGCCATCCAAGGCAGGGGCTCTCCGGAGCGCTGCCTGTGGGTATTCCCTGGCTCGGCAGACAGGAGCTCCAGCCCATTTTAGGGACCGGTGGGCTGTAGCAAGCCAGGTCAAAGGGAGAGTCTGCAGGTTGGGGTCAGAAGGTTGTGGGCTCTCTCCTGAATCAGGAGGTTAGTGGGGTTTACAGCTAAGATTGGGGTTTGGGAGTCTGCTGCCCAATCTGGGGTCATTTGAGGAAGTTTCTGTCCTGTAAGGGGGAGCTGTCCTGTTAGTAGGGGGGGCTGTGGCCTTGATAAGGGGCCAGTGAGTTTCTGCAGCTCTGACTGAAGGCATGGTGGGGGTCTCAGGCCAGTTTCTGGGGAATGAGTGAATGGGGTCCTTGTTTCTGGTCAGTTTGGTAGGGCTGGAGAAGGGGGTGGGTAGAATTCTGCAGCCCTGGCGGGGGGTCCCCAGGAGCACCTTCCGCTAGGAGGTGGGAGGCTGCAGCCTGGAGACCCCGGGTCAGTGGGGGAGGGGGAGGCAGGGGGAGGCAGGTTCTTCTCACCTTGCCAGCGTAGTGGTGGATGACGAAGCCGGCACTCCAGCTGTTGAAGTGCTCATGGGTGCCCACAGCTGCCTGCAGCTTCTGCAGCAGCGTCTGGTCGGCGCCACCCCCTGTAGCGTGCATGGTGGCGCACACGTCGTCCAGCACACTCATGATGCCTGGGGGGCTCTGCGGTCATGGGGAGGTGGCAGTCACTCAGCCTGGCCCTACTCTGCCCGGACTCCTTTATAGAGACCTTCACTGGGGTGAAAGTGTGTCGGGGGGACTTCCAAATATAAGAGCAAAAGGTGGTGGTGGGGCCCAAATCTGTGTGTGGGGCTGCTGTGAAAGCTCCTTGGTGTGCAGGATGGGGTGAGGGACCCCAGAAGAGATCCATGCCTCTGCACCTTTCCCAGACTGGGGTGTCTGATGGGGGACCTGTCCTGAGCAGCACTGACCTCTGTCCCTGAGCATGCTGCCCAGGGGAATGTTCGTTGAGTGAATGAGTGGAGGGCAAGCAGGTGGGCAGAATGAATGGGTGAGGTTGATGGGGTGTGTCAGTTGTGCTCCTTGGTAGAGAGGGACCTATGGAGACCATTACCCCCTCCCATCTCTCCCAGGTCTCCTAGGCTCAGCTCTGAGGCTCACTGAGACCCCCTAAAGCTGGCCTGGCTCTCACCAGCTTGTTTTCAATGAGGTCGCAGACGATTTTGTTGTTGAAGTACTGGATGGGGGTCCAGCGGATGCCCTCCTGGACATATTCCTCCTGGGGATGGCAAAGGGGTAGAGATGGGGGTGGGTGTCTGGGCAAAGCTATGTGTACTTCTAGAATGTATGCTCAAAGGTGGGTGAAGAAAGTGGGGTGGTCTGCCACCTTCTTTCTCTTCACCAAGGCGGTTGAGCAGCCTCCCCAGCAGATGCAGAGATGCAGATCTTTGTGAAGACCCTGACTGGCAAGACTGTCACCCTTGACTCTGAGCCCAGTGACACCATTTTGAATTTCAAAGCTAAAATCCAAGACAAGAAGGGCATCCCGCCTGACCAGCAGCGTCTGATTTTGGTGGACAAACAGCTGGAGGATGGCCGCACCCTCTCACACTACAGTATTCAGAGTCTACCCTGCACTGGGTGCTTCCTCTGCAGGGTGGCATCACGAGCCTTCCCTCCGCCAGCTCGCCCAGAACTAGAGCTGCAACAACATGATCTGCTGCAAGTGTTATGCCCACCTGCACCCCCGCGCTGTCAACTGCCGCAAGAGGTGGAGCCACACCAATGACCTGCGCCCCAAGGAGAGGGTCAAATAAGGCCCTTCCACGACCTCCTTGCCCGCAGGGCGACATCTTACCTGAACCCTGTGGCCATGGGGCCTCAATAAAGTTTCCCTTTTGTTGCAAAAAAAAAAAAAAGAAAATGGGCAGGTGCTCCCCACAAATTTCCCTCACAATCTCATCAATTAGGACTGTCTCCCATAACAAAGTCCATTGCCTTTGTGTGGGGAAGGCTGGAAGTGTCACCCCTGGCAGCCCGCAACCACAGACAGGAGCTGGTGGAGAAACACCCTGGCTCCCTTGGTCTCAGTGGGCCAAGCCTGTGGTCTGCTCTGTAAAGTTGCCCTGGGCTCCAGCAGAACAGAGCCCCAGTTGCCCTATCATAACCTGCTAATTAACACATCCCTTTGGGGCTTTAAAAAATCCCTCTCTTGCCCTGGCCAGTGCTGCTCAGTTGGTTAGAGCATTGTCCTGTGCACCTGAGGGTCATGGGTTCATTTTCCCATCAGGGCACATACCTAGGTTTTGGGTTCGATCCTCAGTCTGGGTGTGTGGGAGGCAACCCATCGATGTATCTCTCTCACATCAATGTTTCTCTCCCAGCTCCCTCTTTCTCTCTCCCTCCCTCTCTAAAATAAATTTAAGACAAAATCCCTCTCTCACTGCCTCACTCCTCTCCTGGTCTTTACCCTGAATGCTTGTCTGCGGTTCTGCTTCTGCAGGATGAGTTGAATGAAAACATCAGGGATTTTTGTTCATCCTGTTCATGGTGGCTTCCCCAGTACTGTAGACAGTGCCTGGGACATTGTAGGTGTTAAATAAATAATTGTTGAATGAATGAACAAAGAGTTTATCCCCCAGCCCTTGTCAAAGCTTTAGAAGTGGAAAACCTCTTCCGAAGAAAATCTCACGGTGGAGCCTGGATGGGTCAGCAGAGAGAGATGGAAACGGGGGGCTGGGATATCTTCTGGTTGCTCAGTGACCTTCATGGTCCTGCCCCCAACCCAGTGTCCCATATTCTTGGCCACTTGGCTGCCCCTGCTCACCTGCTCAGCCTTCAGGGTGAGTTCGATAAAGATCTGCTGTAGCTTCTCATTGACAAAGTTGATGCAGAATTGCTCAAAGCCATTTTTCTGCCGAGGGAGGAAAAGAGTGCTTCGTTCAGTGGGTATACGCTGGAGGCCCCTGGGGCCACTGGGACAGGGTGTGGGCCTGGGAGCAGAGACCATACCTGGAAGATCTCGAAGCCGTAGATGTCAAGCACGCCAATACTGTACTCTTCATGCGGCTTCTGCATAGCACGGTTGATGGCCTGTGATGCAGGTAGGGACAGGAGGTGAGTGCCTGCCTGCCACTTTCTTGTTACACTCTTAGTCACTTTGCAGACTATGTCTCCTCACAGCAGTTTTTCTCCTGCCTTCCCCAGCTCTGTGCATACCCCTATCAGTCACCCATATGAGGAACCCAGGAGTGAGAGCATCGGGTTCCTGCTTTGGGAGCTGGCTCTGCTCCTTAACAACTCTGCCTATTTTCTCATCTTTAAAATGGGTGAATAATAGCAACTATTTAATGGGGCTTTTTCTAAGAATGAAATAAACGGATGCATGTAAAACAGATACAACAGTAAAGGGCACACACAGTGTTAGCTCCTGCTGTCATCATTCGTTACCTTGACACCCCCCCTCCCCATCGGCCCCCATCCAGCCACCACTATGTCCTCCAGACAGTCCTCCTCTTGGCTCTCAGATACACCCACCTGTCTTCGTCACCACAGCCCCTAGCCCAGCCCAGGCCTGAGCTCCATGCCACAGCCAGAGGGAGCCCCTCAGTCTTCCACATGACCACCAGCTGCCCCTGCTGGATGTGTCCCACGCAGGGACTTGGTGAGGCTGTGAGAGTCAGGCCTGCCTCCCCCACTCGGCTGGTCCCTGAGGGCCTCTCCCACCCCTGGGTGCTGCCACACTTGCCTCCACCAGGAAGTCGAAGAGACGGGAGTAGAGCCCCTTGGCTAGGGCGTCGCGGGTGTAGGCCGCCTGCTCCACGTTCAGGGTCACGTCGATGGACTCGCTGCGGCCGCCCCAGCGGCTGTCCATCTTGCGGCTGGTCAGCTTCTCCTGCAGCCGCCCACTGTCGATGCCCAGCAGGTAGGCGGGAAAGGCCAGGACTGCCGCGGGGGGTGGGGTGGGGCGGGAAGGGGGCAGCTGATCAGGCTCTTGTCTCTTTCAATGCTTCTGTCTCTCCCTATGTTGCCCAGTGACACTGAAATTGTCCTCGTGGGTTCTCACCCTCTGGGAGCTGAACTAGGAGGAAGCGTTCACTCACTCACTCACTCACTCACTCACTCACTCACTCACTCACTCACACTTGCTCCCCGCCCTCCCCAGCACCCAAACTCACGGTCCACACTCTCCACCCTGGCGTAATTCCCTTCTTCACAGAAGCTGATGTTTCCCAAGTGCAAGATCCCCGCCACGAGCTGCAGGACCAGCTGCTGGACATTGGGTGGGATCCCGATGACCTGCATGGCGCTCTGTGGGCATCACAAACACAGAGCCTGTGCTGCCAATCCCGACCTCCACCCTGTCCCCCGAGGCCGGGCTTCTGGGGTCACAGCATGGACTCAGAGTCAGGACACTTGGCTCCCTGTTTTACCTCTTTCACCCGCTCACTGTGTGACCTTGGGCAAGTCCCTACCCACCTCTGGTTCCGTTTCCTGATTTGTAGCACAAGAGGTTGCCAGGGCTGGAGTGGCAGTTGGTACTCACCAGAGTCTCACTGAAGTCACTCCTGTCATCGGTGCCATCCACCTTGTAGGTGTCCGATTGGTTGAGGTAGAAATAGTAGTCGGGGGTCATGAGCCCCAGGTTCTGCCGCTGTTCCTGGGAGGCCCCTTCCAGCAGCTGGAGGGTGAGCGATGCTCATGCACTGGACCTGCACAGGCCTTGCGGTCCCCTACTCCTGACTGACCCTCCCACTGTTACCCCTAGGCCACAGGTGGGGCTCTCCTTTCCTGGCACCTGGTAGTAGATGTGGAAATTCCTCTCGCTTTCATTCTGCGTGACCACGCGGGATTTCTCCAGCAGGAAGTTGGAGATCTTGCCCCCATCCGGCTCCCCGCCACGGCTGAACTGGATCTCAAAGTACTTGCCCTAATGTGAGAGAACCCCAAGGGCCCAGGGGTACAGGTGAGGGAAGAATCGGGGATGGGTCTTATGAGCCTGGCCTCTTTCCTCCTCTTACCCATGTGACTTCAGCTTGCTTTCCTCTCCCCACCTCCCACTTATGCACTGCTTGTCTTTTCCATCAGCTCCTTCTCTCCAGGCTTTGCTTAAGCCCTTTCCTGGGCCAGGAATGCCCTTTACTCCCTTTCTGATGATTCAAGTCACCACTCAGGGCATCCGCCCTGTGCCTGGCACACAGAAGTATCACATTTTATTGACCAGTTCCCCAGTTCCTCTACCACAATACAGAGGCCTCTGTGTCTCTGTGGGATGCTACTGTTCCAATGATCCTGAGTGTCTCCCACATGTCCTTGACCCAGAGCAAGGACCCCACAAGCCCCTTCTTTGGTCTCTGACATCATCTGTGTTCTCTGGCCAGAGGTTGGAGGGCAGACAAGCTCCATTACTTCTCCTTTCTGCCACCTCCATCTGATAGCAATACAAATTATGTCATCATACTACACAAACACCTGTAGTATATGACATATTCTATTGTACAATAAGACTATATAAAATAAAATGTAATTATACATTTTGAGATTTATTCATGTTTTGGGGTGTATCAGTAGTTTGAAAACACATACTGTGTGATTCCATTTATATGAAGTTCTAGAATAGCTAAGACTAATCTATGGTGAAAAAAAATTCAGAGGAGTGGTTGCTTCTGGAGTAGAGGGGGAGTAGAAATTGACTAGAAAGGGACAAGAGGGAACTTTCTGGAGAGATGGTGATGTTCTGTATATTGATAGGAGTTTGGGTTGTACAGTGTATGCATTTTTCCAAACTCAGTGAATGGTCCACTTTAGATATATGTATTTTACTACCTACAAATTTTACTTTAAAATAAATAAAAGAGAACTGCAAATTTATAATGGACTATAATTAATGATCTGCATGCTGAAGTATTTGGGGGGAAAGGTATGGAGTCAGCAGCTTGCTTTGTAGTACATAAAAAAAAGATGAATGGAGATACAATAAAGCAAGTATAGTAAAATGTTAATGATGTAATATACGAACTGGACATACAGGTGTTCACTTTATTATTCTTCCATTTTCCCATGTATTTGAAATTTTAACAATAAAATATTGGGAAAATACTTAAAATATAATTATAAATAAATATTAGAAAATAAAAATACAACTAATAATATTTTGAGAAATAAAAATCTTATTAGCGTATGGGATTTTTTAAGTCATTTCCACGTGCAGGCATTGTAATGAAATTGTTGAGGCCTATGAGATGGATCTTAACATCATTCCCACATTATGGCTGAGAAAACAGAGGAGGCTCAGGAAGTTATATTGTTTTTTTTTGTCCAAGCCACATACCTAAATAGTGACAGAACCAGGATCATAAATCCAGATCTGTTCACCTATTCTGTCTTCCATTAGGCCCAGCATAGCGCCAGACACAAAGAAGGAGCCTAAGGACTATTTCCTGAAAGAAGGAATGAAGGAAGGAATAAATTGGACCTGAAACGTGACTAGGAACAGACATGGCATGGTTGCAGCCAGGGGAGTATTTAAGAATGTGGCCCGGACATGTCATGTTCTGCCGACGGGGGACTCCTTCTCAATGGACAATAAACAGGTAGTGAGCGTCCCATCCAGGGGCAGGTATTTTCTGTGATCCTGGGAATACAGGGAGAGGCGCGTGTGTGCGTGTGCTTGTCAGTGCGGAGGGCAGGGCTGTGCACTCACGAAACGACTGGAATTGTTGTTGCGCACTGTCTTGGCGTTGCCGAAGGCCTCGAGCAGTGGGTTTGATTGCAGGATGATATCCTTCACGTGCTGGGGGCAGAGGCAGGCGGGGTGAGAAGAGGTCAGGCCGAGGCAGGTGCGGAGGGGTAAAATCCACGGAGTGGGAGGAAACCTGGCCCTTCTTTCTGCTTTGGCCTCACCTGGACCTTCTCGCCCCCGCCAGACACTTTGGAGATGTAGCCCATGATGTATTTGGCTGCCACGGTCTTCCCAGCTCCACTTTCTCCACTGGGGACAGGTGAGGAAGGAATGATCAGTGGCCGGGGGTAGGGGAAAGGGGTGGGGGAAGCGCCCTGTTTAACGCCTGATCATTTGTTCATTCATTCATTCAGTACCTACTGTGTGTGAGGGACTATTCCAGGCCCTAGGGATACAATAAGGAACAAGACAGATACAAATCCCTGCCCTGCTGGAGCTGACACTTAGGGAAGACAGATGGATAGTAACAGATGAATAAATAAAATATATCATGGGTTAGAGGGTGACGAGGAAAGTACAGCAGGGCTGGGAACAGAGAGGGAAGGCAAGGCTGTTTGGATCAGGGTTCCAAGAAAATCTCCCTGGGGTGGTGATGCTGTTTGGGCAGGGCTTGGGCAGGAGGACCTGGGGACCCCTCTCTGTACCTGATGATGACACACTGGTTCTCACAGTCGATGAGCATGTTCCGGTACATGTTGTCGGTCAGGGCATAGATGTGTGGGGGGTTCTCGTACTGGGCCTGCGGGGGGAGGGCAGGTCTCAGCCCAGGGCTAGGAGCCAGGGGTCCTGGGGACTTGTGCCTCCCACCCAGCCTTGGTCTTACCGCGCCCTGGTAGAGATCGATCTCACGGTCAGTGAAGTAGGGCATCTGCTTGAAGGGATTTACAGAGATGAGCACGGAGCCAATGTAGGTCTGTGGGGTGGTTAAGGGCCATGCAGTGTCCTGGCATGCTTTGTCTCTCATGCGCCCCTGTCCCCTCATCCTGCTCCCCCAGGGCCTCCTAGAACCCCACTGCTCAGAGGAAGAGATACTCAGATGTGTCCTGGGCCTCTTAGGAAAAAACAGGGCTGGGTCCAGAATGGGAGAAATGGGGTATATTGTTGCTGAGCTACCGCAGGGCAGGGGGAGAAGTTGGGGACACAGCCACCCCCAAGCAGAGCCCTGCTGTCACTCCATCTGTACGGTGTCCTATCACCCAATGCTCTCGCGGCCCACTCCTCCCTCCTGACGTCCCTCTGCCCCCTTCCCTGCACCCATCCACCCTCCATCCCGCCATCCCTTGCCCAGTCATCCTGTCCCTCTGTCCATTTGCCTGCCCCGCCCATGGCCCAGGGTACAAAGATGTAGTCATCCATGAAGCGCTTTCGGAGGTTGCCCACGATGGCATCCTCGGTGATCTGAGGCAGCAACACCATGTCATCCACGCCGCTCTGTTTCACATTGTGGCTCTGCCAGTGGAAGCGCTCCTTGCTGCCCTGGGGTGGAAGCAGTGGGGTGGGTGCGAGCCCTGGCAAGGGGGCCTGTGGGAAGGTGCGCTGGTGCCTCAGTGCCCCCGCCCGGTCACCTCAGTCCCCAGCTTCTGATTGTGCCCCACTTCCTTCCCCATCTCACACCAGAAGAGAGAGGTGGTCAAGGTCCAGTCCAGGCCCCCTGCCCCCAGGAGGCGGCCAGACAGAATGACAAGTCCTCCTTCCCGCCTCCCTTTCAGCCTCCCTGCTCCTCGCTTCCTCAACCCCCTTCTCCCTGCTCAAGCCCAGGCTGAGTCCCTGCCTTTTCCGGGGCATTTGCCCCGCTCCCACTCCTTCCATCTGGGTATGGCCTTCCTCCCACGCCACTCCTCCTCTCTCGTGGTCATGCGGACCAGCCCGTTCCTCTCAGATCCTCTCAGAGCCACGTGCTCAGCTGTGACCTCTACTCTCTTCCAAGCTGTGACCCTGCTCCTCAGCTCCCACAACCTTCCTGCTGCCCCTGCCACTGTCATCTTCATTTTCAGTGAGCCTTTGCCCTGCCCTGTGCCAGCTTCAGCACTTTCCCAGGCTCCCACTTTCCCTTCTCATTTCCTCCTTCAAGTTTTCAATAGTTGACACCTTCCTCAGGGCCTAAGGAGGACACTCAGATACAGGCTTTCCTCAAGAACTCCTCCTCCAGGAAGCCTTCCTGGAATATTTTTTGCTTTTAGCCTGACTGGATTCATCTAGTGCCTTAAACACTTAAACACACTGGCTCTCTCAGGCCCGTTCTGCCTCTGTTCAGTACACCCCTGCTGTAGAAAAGTCTGGGAGACAGAAGGGCAATGATAGCCTGGAGCTCCCCTGTCTGGCACACTCATGCTCTGATAACATGTCCCTCCTCCAGGAAGCCCTTACCCCAGGCCAGGGCTCCTGGGGGGCTGAAACTAGGACTAAGTCCTTTCTCAGTCCCAGCAAGGAGGACCTATCGAATGTACAAGGGACAGGGCGAAGAAAGAAACCCAATTTCAGAGGAAGACCCCAAGGGCATAGGATGCTGAGAACTAAAGTTGAGTCTTCAAAAATTATCAGCATTTGCTGGACAGATTTCAGGGAATGGAAACAGGCAGGGGTCAAGCAGGAGGGTGAGTGTAGACAACTGTAGGGCAGAAGTGAATGAGAAGCCAGCTTCTCCTGGGGGTACTGGGGAGCCACAGAAAGTTCCTGAGCAGGGGGAGGTGTGTGGCCAGAATCTGGACACACTGACAGTCGGAGGGGAATTTGTCAAGGAATGCCCACAGACATTAAACATGTTCCACTTTTGGTGTGGGCAGATCTAGGCTCTGATCCTGGCCAGGTGACCTAACTGCTGTGAGCCTCTGTGGCCTCATCTATAACATGGGAGAAATGGCTCACTTCCCAGGGTTGATGTGAGGATGAACTGCTCTGGGGAGCAAAGTGGAGTGGGTAGCTGATGCTCTTCCCCAGCCTGAGTGGTTGTGAGGATGGGCCCAGGCAGAGGGGTACATGACAGAATTAACATTCACTAAGCACCTACTATGTTTGTGAAACTGGACAGGGGATGTCACCAATATTACCAACAATGTTTATAGCAACTCAGCGGGGTGTAGGTGGAGAGGGAACTGAGGCTTGGGAAGTGAGTGGCTTGACACTTGACTTGGAACACAGCTAAATTGTTTTCAAGGGTGTGGGGTTTGAGTCTGGGTCCATCAGACAGCAAAGACCAAGCTCTTGCGTCTACACCTGCAAGTGGCTGGGACCCACAGCGTGTTTGAGCTGGGACTTGAAAGTTGAGAAGGGTTTTGATCACGAGCAGGAAGAGGGTACACCAGGCAGAGTGAACCACCCAGGCAGAGGTACAGAGATATGTGACTGAGGCTGAGACAGACCACAGAGGAGGGAGTGTGGAGGGAGTCAGGGCTCAAACCCCTCAAACTGCTTCCAGCCTGAGTAGTCAGAGTGGGTTTCTCATATGGCAGATCTGATCTCTTCTCTCTGTGGTTTTTCTCCTGTCTGTGGTTCCCCATCATTGTCCCATTCATCTACACTACAAAGCAATCTTGAGTACCTACTATGTGCTAGTAATTTAGGCCTTCGGGAATAATTCTTTCAATTCTTTATGGAGTTGCCTCTAAGCCTTTGCAGATGTTGAGTCCTCTGCTCAGAACACCCTTCCTGCCTGGCGAAAGCCAATTCATCCTTTAAGACTTGGCTCAGGGGATACCTCCTCCAAGAAGACCTCCCTGAACCCAGGCCAGGTCAGGTGCTCCCTCCCCACAGCCCATTGGGCTTCCCTCACCATAGCCCCATACACAATTTTTAAAAAATCCTCACCCGCAGATATTTTTTCCATTGATGTTCTGACAATGGAAAGAAGGGGAGGAGGGGGGAAAGGGGAAGAGAGAGGAGACAGAAAGAGAAACATTGATGTAAGAGAGAGACACATCAATTGGTTGCCTCCCACACATGCCTGCCACACATGTTCCAACTGGGGCTGGAGATTGAACCTGCAACCCAGGTACATGCCCTTGACCAGGAATTGAACCTGCGACCCTTCAGTGCTCTGGCTGATGCTCTAACCACTGGGCCACGCTGGTCAGGGCACCCACACACATTTTGGACGTCCCGCACATTAGCCTAACTGGTGTGGGAGCTCCTGAGCTAAGGCGCTCATGCCATGCCTGGCTCAACAGGTTATCAGGGCTTCTTTGAATGAGTGAGTGAAGGAATGAGTGAGTGCGTGAATGAATGGAGGGGGGCAAGGTCCTGAAGGGCCTTTAATGCCAAGCAAAGGAATTTGGATTTGAATGTCCATGGCTTGGAGAGTTCTCAGCAGGGCCATATTGCCTCTGGAGCCACTTTAGGAATTGTGGGAGCATTTTTGGTTGTCACAGGGATGGAGACATGCCTGGCATTTTAAGGGGGCCACAGGTGGCAGATTTACATTCAAATAATCATCCTGTCTGCAGCTTCCCACCCCACCTTGAAGGTGTTCATGTAAGTGACAGACCTGCTTATAATCAATCATTGAAGCCTAGGACCAAATTCAATTTTATCTATAAGTGGAAAATCTATATAATTTTACACGGTTGATACCTATTGCATTTTTCAGGAATGCTTTTTTCAGATTTTGCTCAGATTTTATTTTTTCAGATTTTGTTTTGTGCAGGTGAATTTTTTTTTCTCAGAATTTATTCACACTTTACTAAGAATTGTTCAGCATTTGTAAGCTCATGCTGCTCGTGGTGGGGCTGTCAGCATATTGAAACACGCCTGTGTCCAGGTGTGAGCACCTGGTGGCTCCAGTGAGCATTGTTGGTCCACTGGCCTGAGCACTTTCATATTTATGTACGAGTTTCATTATAAATGACTTTCTCCTCCATATTCCAGGGGGATCACATTAATTATTTTTGACACAATGGTAGTCAGTGTGTTTCATTGTGAATTTTATTTCATGGCTTCAAGGGGCCTGTCAGGATAGGGGGGTGGCCTGCAGGTGACAAGGGCCAGTTGGGAGAAGCCGGGAGCCATTGATTGCAACCCAGGCTACTGAAGAGCATTCTTGCTCACTGGAGACTGAGAGAGACCCCATGGAGAATGTTGGCGACCTCAGGGTCAGAACTCAGATTGGGAGGTCAGGAGGCATAGACGGGAATCAAGGTGCTTTGGGACAGTCTGGCTGAGAAGGGGAGGAGGGAAAGAGATTGTGGGGAGGGATCTGGTCAAGGGAACATGTTTCCTGTTTGCAAGATGGGGAGATCAGAGTGTGCTGGTCCTGGTGGGGCACGAGTGACAGCGGGTGGGGACGTGGGTGGGTGGGGGCTATTTCAGGGAGCAGGAAGTGGATTCTCTCTGTGAAGACCTCAAGAGGTAGGGCCTTGGGTGGTGGCTGTGGTAACTGATGGCAACAATAGCAATAATAGTTAACACCCTATGGGGTACTTATTCTGTGCCAGACTCTGGTCTAAGCTTTTTCTGTGAATTACCTCATTTAATTCTCTCAATATATGCTGAGGTCAGTACTATGATTAGGTCTACTTTGTGCAAGAGAAAACCATGGCATGGAGAGGTTAGGCATCCTCCCCAAGGTCATACAGCAGGAAGGAAGGGACCCGGATGAGCATTAACAAGGCTGTTTGTCCCCCTAGCCTGGTCTGGGTCAGAGGTGCTGGGTTGGTGCTTTGGGACAGATGAGGATGGGCCAGAAACAAGAATAGTCCTGTCCAGGGTTTCCCCTTTGGGGTCAGCCTGGTCTCCATGCTCTTGGGCCCCTCAGGCAGAGCTGACACTCAAAGCCACTTCCTTTCTCTGAGGTCAGAGTCTGCAAGGCTGGCTGTGTCTGACTGGCTTTCCTGGTTCTGAGGACTTGGTTCCTCTTCTTGTCCTTCCCCACTCCCCCCATATGGCTGAGTGGCCCTCTGCTTCTTTCAGCCCCTGTCATCTCTCCCCATGTCCTGCTCCTAGCTCCATGTAATCACAGAATCCATGGGTTGTTAGCAGTAGAGGAAGAGAGGGTTTTGCTCAAGTGGGTAGTGTGTGGGAGGATACTGAAGACTTTTGGCATGGGGTCAATTGGGTGAGAGGCCTGGCTTGATAGTTGACTGATTACGTGACCCCAGGAGGGCACTTTACTTCTCCAAGCCTCAGTTTCCCCATATGTAAAACGAATTCCATAATACACTTCCTGCATGGATTTTCTGAGAGGAGTAAATGAGCCTATACAGACGACAGATGCATTGGGGCGGCTCAGGAAGGGCAGCTGGTGTTTCAAGAGCACTGAGTGGAAATGATCAGTCTCTGACAACAGATACAGGAGCTGGTCAACATATACTCGTTGGATGAATGAATGAATGAAGTACCATAGGCATGAGTATCTCTCTGTGGCCCTCAAGTCTCCATGGGTGAAATTGAAACTGTTTGTTCCTAAGTCCCTTCCTTGGGATGTGGGGGTGCAATGAAGAGGTTGCGGTCACAGTTGACCACAAACCAAGTATGACTCAACCTGCTGGGGTTCTTGTGAAAGATAGGGGCTTGAGGTGGCTGGGGTGGGAAGGGGAAGGTAGCTTCTTACTTCAGCTCTTCAGAGAGGTCCCATCAACCAAAGGCAGAGGGCATGGGGGCGGGGCTTCCTCGGTGCCAGAGGAGGGTGGGGCTATTTGCCACCAAGGTGTTGGGCTCCTGTAGGGTTGGGGCATTGGAGCCCCATAGTGAACACTTCCTGAGCCCCTATTGTGCATGCAGGTAGATGGCACCAGGCCTAGGGGAACTCAGTGTTTCCTGAGCGGGTGAAATGAATTGCCCAATGGAGACTGTAGGTCCACATCAGTTGATACTAAGGAGAGATGGGGTGATCAGTAAGGGCTTCCTGTAGGAGACAGTTCTTGCAACATGAACTTCCCAGGCAGAATTGGTGGTGGCAGCAGGAGCCATGGGCCAGGAAGGCCTTGGGTGTGTGGAGGACACCATGATCCTAGTCTCATTGGAACAGAAAGTCCAGGTCCAAATGAGGCAGGGATGGGCAGCCCAGGGCATGTGGGGTCTGAACACCCCTCTGGGTGGCCTCCCATTTGTAGGAGGAGGTTGTAGCTTAAGGTGGCTGTTAAAAATGTGACCTCAGGAGTCACTGAGTTGAAATCCTCTCCACTTTTGGGTTATACAACAGCTTGCCTAACCTCCCTGCCTCAGTTTCCCACTTGGAAAATGGGACCATGGAGGGCCATAGACCTCCCAGGGCAGTTGTGCAGATTCAATGAGGCAAAGCGTGTGAAGAGGAAATGTTAGCTTTCCTCACCATCACCAGCAACAGCAGCAGCTGCCGTAAGTTGGCCGGTCCCACACGCATAGGGCACAGGGCCAGGAGGAAGGGCTGGATGAGGGAGCTTTTGCAATTTGCCCCAACTGCTCTGGCCTCCTTGGGTGGTGATGAGCAGAGCCCCAGACTGGAGAGAGCAACAAAACAGCCACTTCCTTCCTTGCTGGGGTCCTGCAAGCTGTGGTTGCCAACCAAGAGGAGCTGTGAAGCTGCTGTGGCTGCTGGAGACACCCCCAGCCCCTGCCTTGGTCCCCTAGTGTGCCCTTGGTGCCCTCTCCTCCCCCAACTCAGTGGGGTTCCGGGGCCACACCCTGGGCTCCTATATTGTGCAAACAACATTCTTACCTCCAAAGGCTCTCAGGGTCTCCCCCTCCCTTTGGGAGGAGACCTCAGCTTCCTTTTATCCTAGCCAGACCATTCTCCAACAAGTGGGGACCCTTGTCCTTCCAGAATACTTCCTTTTAATTCTCTCTTGGCCCCCAGACTTTCCATGGCCACTGTCCCTGGATCAAGCAGCCACATCACTGGTCTCTCTACTTCATGTCTGTACTTTAGAAACAACCATCATTACCCTCACCTTTCCGCCATCACCACGCAAAGACAACAAATTGCATCCTTCACCCCCCCAACCACCACCAAAGCCAAACAAACTGCTGATAACCCCAATGGCAGCACCATCAGCCAACATCAAACAGAAATGATGGTTGATTCTGCTACCAATGTCCCTACCATCACCCACAACCACCATCCACCTGTCCTCACTAGCACCAGCAGCCCATAACTAACCACAGTCAACAGCAACATGATCACAATACTAGCCAATAGCAACCACACATAGCCAACTGCCATTGGAGCCACAATCAACAATACCCCTTTCAGAACCCAGCAGTCATCAGCACTACTGCCGAGATGGTCGCCCAAAGTAAAAAATGAACAACAGCAAACAAACACTACCAACATCAGTCACCCAACTCTGAATAACAGTGACTAACAACTGCCATTATTCCACGGGTCCACCCTCCAGATGAAAGCAACCAGCCACCAGTGTTCACCACCATCTGGCACCAAAAACAACCATCACCACTGCCAACCCACCCACAAGAACCACTGTGACCACCAACATGCAACAACCAACAGTAACATCATCATCAGCAATGGCCCCAACAACCCAACAGCCATCTTTTGACAGCAGCTCCTCTTCATCGACCGAGTCACCTGCACCCACCTCGATCGCTAACCCAGCCGTATCACCCTCAGTGGTGTTACTGGTGTTGAGTGCCTGCTCTATAAAGCGCTATATATCTGTGCTCTCTAAAGCACTTTGTGAACATTGTTTCACTGACTCTTTCAACACTCCCCCTGGCATGTATCGCCCCTGCAGGCAGATGTCAGGGGCATTGGCCTCATGGATGAGTTCTACTCTTTTTTTCTGCTGTGGTCCTTTGGGGTGAGTTTCTCCCTTGCCAGGCCCCATTAGCCAAGCAAACGTTGACTAAGCATTTTTCACACAGCTTCCTTGGGAGGGGTTGCTTTTCTCTCAAGTAGCAAATCATTTCCTGTGTTCTTTTGATCAAAGCCTACCCATCTAAGCTCCTGAGTCGTCCTGGCTTGGCTCCTTCTTGGAAGAGTTTCTGTCCCAAGCCCAGAGCTCTAGCTGATGGTTTAGTTGTGAATTACCCAGATGGATCCTTGGCCGATGATGCCTGATTTGTCATCAGCTTTGTGAAGTAAGATGTTCTCTCTCAGACTAACACAAAGCCTGCCTCTTGGTCTACCTCCCTGCCTCCACCTTGGTCAGCTGCTTGCTGCAACTGCCAGAAGCTCCACAGTTGTCACCACTGGCTCTGTGACTGTTCCAACCACACGCCCTCATTGACAGAATGACAAAAAATGAAAGTTGAAGTGGTTGCAGATGCATGGAGTTGTGGGGGTGACTTTTATCACCAGCTCAGGCTCTCAATGTGTATGTTATGATGCCGTGGGGTCTAAATCCATGACCGTGACAGGCTCCCCACCCTGTCGTCACAGTCATTATTAGACCTCCACCTCACCAGGCAAGGATGCCTTTGGCTGCAGTGTCTTCCTTGCCACCTTCACAAGGAAGGGTACCAGTGGTGGTGTAGATGTGCTGTATCTCACCATCTGCTTCTGTGATCGCTACAGCTAGACCACCTGTCACCTGCACAGGCATGCTGTCACTACACCGTCACTGCACCCCACCGCCCATTTGACACAGCTTCCCCTCGCAGATGTGGACTCAGAGTGGCTGAACCCAGACCCTCTGAAGTTTCAACTGAGGTTCCCAAGACACTTTCCACATCTCTGTTGACTTCCAAATATGACATATGTGGGAACTGAGGCCCAGGGAGGGGAAGTGACTTGCCCAGGACCACATGGGGAGATAAGGGACCAAGCTGAGCTGAAAACCAGATTTCCTAAGTCCCAAGAAAGGGGTATGTCCCTCTCCTTGCAGACACTGTGTGATCCTTCAGGGCCACCTTCTGTCCTTTATTTCTTGGTCTCCCATCATTATTCTGGCATCCTGTCCATTACATGGGAGTTTGGTCCTGGTGAAGGATGCTGAGGGCACCTGAGCTGCATGGAGGGACGGACCCCTAAAGGGCCTGCTGTGCCCCTTCCCATGGCTCCTCTTTCTGATGATGGCCTCTAGGGCACCTCCCCTGGTAACCCCCACCCCTGCACTTCAGGGCCCACCGCCTTGAAGGACTTACCATGGTAGGAGGTGGTGTCTGGGTTTCTGGGGGGTGCCTGAATGGGTCGTGGCAGGGGTGCAGGCTCAGGGGGCTCCGGGGGGTAGGTCAGGCATGGCCCTGCTCCCTCTCCTTCACCAGACTCCCAGCCCTAGTTCCTCTTACAGCGCCCCCCCTTTCACTTCCTTTGGCGGGAGGGGCCAGCAGCTACAGGGGAGGGAAGCGAGGCCCAGGGGCGGGGAGAGAGCTCCAGAACTGGCAGGGCCGAGGGAGCTGGCAGTTTGAGGCTCTGAGCATGAAGGAAAAGGTCAAGGATTGATGGAAGCTGCTACCAGACCCTAGAAGGCCCCTTCTCCAACCCTCTGGGGACAGGGGCTACAGGAAGGAACACACAGGTCAGTTGGCTACAGGATTCACCGCTCTGTTAAGGGTGGGCCCCAGGAAGCATTTGAGCTGCCCAGGTCTCTATAAAACCACTTCAGACATGTGTCTTCTCTGGGGTCCCTGAACGAACACCTGCTTCCAGAGCAGCCTGAGATGGTCATTCCTTTAGAACAGTCTTCACACGCACACATGGGTGTCAGGAGAAGGGCAACGGGAGTGGAGGGTACCAGGAGCTGGGTGCACCTGAAAGGTTCAACTTTGGAGGTCAGATATGGATTTAACCCTCAGCTCTGCTACTTCCAGCTTCTTCCCATTTTCTCATCATAAAACGGGGATGCAGGCCCTCCCAGCAGCATCTGGCAGACACTGGATCCATCACGTGTGAGCCCATGGCCTGATTTTGGGGAAATCAGCAGGCCATGTACTGGTCTCTTGATAATTGAGGAAATGGAAGTTCTGAGAGGTCTTCACCCTGCAGTACCACACAGCAAGGAGGTGCCAGAGGCAGCAGCCAAGTGGCTGGGAAAGCCTGGCAGGGAGGTGGGAGGACCCGGATATCCCTGCAGTCCAGTGTTGCACAGCATCTACCTGGAGGTCGCCAAGACGTGTTTGCCCCCTTGTGGCTTCATATTTTGAGGCCCCTTTTCTGAGTCTTGTGCACGTTTGCTACCAGGATTGGTTTGGCATCTGCCAACCTCAGGAAATGCCTCCAGGCACTAGGAGTGAATACACAGGCAGGAGGACCCCCACTTTGTTGGGGCATACAGGAAAGCTTCTGGGAGAAGGCAACCTTATGCTGAGGCTGCAGGGTGAGGTGGAGTTAACCAGGTAAAGAGGGAAGGGGAAGGTACACCTGGCTGAGGAAACAGCTCAACAAAGGCAGGTATGGCTGGAGCTTTTGGAGTGACCAGGAGTGTGGTGGCCGGGATGACAGGTGCTAGTGTCTCAGACTGTGAGAGACTCTGAGAGAAGCTGTACATTTGTCCTAAGATCACTGGGCTCTAGTCTGTGTTGGTAAAAGCCCCCTTCCAGGATGCTGGGGCTGCTCCAGTCTGGGGTAGGGACACACACACACCACATTCGGAAATCTACACAAGACAGAACTTTATTGATGCAGCACTTCCTGGCAAGGGGTGTGTGGACCCCAGGGTAGGGCCTGTAGCACCATCATGGGGGTGGTGTGGATGTTGGGGTCCCCCTGGAGCAGGCCGGGCACCACCTCTTCTAACCCACCCCTGTAGCTGGTGTTGTCAAGGGGAGGGCATCAGGGAGGTGGCACTAATCCCCTCTCCCCCGTGGCAGACATAGACCCCCTCCAGCCCAGAGTGGAGGGATAGGGCAGTGCTGGGGGTCAGGGCACCGGCTGACCCCCCTTCCCCACCCCCACTCTTCACAGTATGTATTCGATCAAAGGTGGGGGAGTTTGGGGTGCTCCCTAGGGGTGGGTGAAAAGGGCGCTAAGTCGAACAGTTGTTCCCTTCTCCAGCCCACCCTGGAGGGGGTCTCACTGTGAACTAGGAAAGGAGCTGAGGAGGGGCCCTGGGGGTGGCCAGCCCCTCTCCATCTCCCAGCCAGGGGCCCTTCAGGGGTTCCCAATAAATAACTTCCGGTGCCATCTCACCCTTCACTCCCAGCGCCTGCCCTCCGGGCTCCTGCAGGCTGGCCAGGGGCAGCCGGCCCCTCCACCCCCAAGCTGGCGCTCAGCTGTGGCTAAGGGGCTGCTTGCCCTCTAGCGGCCGTGGCAGGTTTTGCAGCACATCTGGCGGAAGTAGGCTCGGCTGCAGAACTGAAATTTGAGCACTAGGGGGCAGTAGGCGACCTTGTTCACATCCTTGCACTCTGTAGAGGGCGGGACGGGGTTGGAAATCAGGTCTGGGAGCCCCTGCGCTTCACGTGGATTATTTCATTCCACCCTTCTAATGCGGCATCCTCTCAAGTGAATGTATTTTTTACCCACTGATACATGAGAAAACGAGAGCAAGAGGTGGAAGGCGAACCCAGGCAGTTTGATCCCTGTGCCTGGAATAAGTCATCCATTGCTACAAAAACTTTTACTTAGGTAGAAAAAATGGGTATATTTAAAGCAGTGGTTCTCAAGAGGATGTGCCTCTCCCCCCACCAAGGGGACACTTGGCGATGTCTGGAGACATTTTCTATTTTCACCACTAGGGGGAGGGGTCCTACTGGCATCAGGCTGGTAGAGGTCAGGGATGCGGCTAAATATCCTGCATTCACAGGGCAGCCCTACGACAATGAATCATATCGCCCAACACGTCTATAGTACCTGAGGTTAAGAAACTCTGCTTTAAAGAAAGAGCATTAGGCACATAATGCTATCGGTGGAAATGAATAAGTCGGAGATCATGGAGGTGGCTGGGGGTGTGACCCAAGTTTGAGCCCCCTTAAAGGATCAGGTGCCTGAAACACTTGGCACACAGTGGCAGTTAATAAATGTCTGTAGTGAGGGGACAGTGAGGCTGGCCCGGAAGAGCCAAAAAGGCATTTCGGTGGTTGGGGAAGGTCTCCCGCTGCTTCCTCTGGACAGGGCCCTCCTGGTGCCCCCTGGCCCCTGGCTCACATACCTTCAGGGCTGTCCCCAGGGGGCGTGCTGTCGCACTTGGCCTCGCACTGCTGCGTGGCGGGTGGCCGCAGGGCCTCAGCGCACTCTCGTGAAGGCTGGCCGGTGTGGCTGGAGCAGCGCACCGCGCGCTGTTGCTGCCCGAGGCCGCACTGCACGGAGCACTGTGGGGCACCTAGGATGAGCCACCACCCAGCCACCCCGTCCTGGCATCCATCCCCCAGGGGCGCCCACCTACCTCACCCCACTCCCCTGCCACCCAGCGGGCAGGGGGGCAGCGGCGCAAGTTGCATCGCATGGTGGCTGGCGGCTTGGCTGCGGGTGGGCAGTGCCCGGGGGGCAGCGTGGCGCGGTGGTCTGCGCTCTTGCAAAGGACCACTCGGTGGCGGAGGCCCGGCCCGCAGCTGGGGGTGCACTGCAGTTGGAGGGGGCGTTTCATGCTCAGTGGGCCGTCACCCCTCCCTTCCCCACAAGCACAGGGAGTGGAGTGGATGTTGCTGGTCCAGTGGGTGGGGAGGAGGGGCCGGCTAACCTCGGACCAGTCAAGGGTGGTCCACTGGGGCTAGCAGGAGGCGCTTGTGACAACGGAGGGGCACCTCAATGGGCACCCGGTACCCAGATCCTGCCCTGTGCTGCACAGGGAACGAGTTGGGCAAAGGTGGGAAGGGGTGCTGACCTCTGACCAGTCGAGGGCGGCCCACTCCGGGGGGCAGGTGGGGCCGTGGCAGGCCTCCAGGACGGGTGGCCGCGGCTGCGGGCACGAGTTGTCATCCAAGGTCTTTTCCTCGGCAGCCGACATGCGGCGCAGACACACAACAGAGCGGCTACGCACACCCGCATCACAGCTGCGGCTGCAGCGTGACCAGTTCCCCACAACCCAGCTGCGGGGGACATGGGAGTCTGAGAGCAGTGCCCGGACCCTGGGGCACTAGCATAGCCTCCCCCGCAAGCCAGCATCATATGGAAACTGGCACCCGGATCACTGCTGCTCCTGCAAGGAGCAGCCCCAAGCCCGCACTTGGAACATCATTTCCCTGTCCCCACATTGGGGGCAGGGAGGCACATCACCCTAAAGGAAAATGACCACCTGCACTTGACTAGGGAGTATAGACTCCGATTCCAGGAGAGCACTGACTCTACTTTGGGGAACACAGTCACCCCAATCCTGGGACCACTTGCTCCTCTGATCTCAGCAGCATTGTCACAGCAGTACCTGTCACCCCCGCCCTGCACCCTGGCAGGTACTCACTCAGGCGGGCAGGGCTCTGTGTTGCAGGCCCGCTGCCTCTTGGGAAGCTTGCTGTGGGCACTGCAATGGTGGGGGGCCACGGCTGAGCTGTCCAGCTGGTTGCGGCACTCCACTGCCTGCACCTGGCTGCCTGGGGGCAGGGGAGAGGCCCACTCAGCCCTGCCCCGTTCAGGTCAGTTGACTAGTGCCCACCCCCTGGCCCCACCCCGGCCTCACCACCGGCACACTGGGCAGAGCACTTGGTCCAAGGCGAGTAGTGCCAGGAGTAGGGGGGCAGTGCATCACGGATGATGGGCGCGTTGAATCGGTAGCGGAGGGCAGGCAGCTCTGTCTTGGCCAGCACCTTGGGGTGAGGTGGGAGTCCATCAAAAGGAAGTCAAGTTTGGAGTCTCCACTAGGGTGCTAATGTCTTCCTGCACCTTGCTCCCGCCATTACCATGATGATGAGAGATGCATTAATGGGTCCCAGGGCTTCTAGGCTCTGCGTCTGATTCGGCCCCGGTCGCAGCTGAAAGGTGGTCCCAGCCAGGGACAGGCGGTGGGGCTGAGGGGTGCCGGGCACCCCCTCCAGCAGCAGGGACTCCTGGTCCCCCTTCAGGGCTGGGGGATAGTGCAGGAGTCAAAATTCCAGCCAAATTTACCCCCAAGCCTCATCCCCTCACCTCCATCTCACCCAGGTGACTGAGGGAGAGGTTCAGGTCCTGGATGAAAATGTGGATGGAGCCTTTGGGGATCCAGACGACTTCCTCGTACCCTGGACGGTGAAGCTAGGTGTCACCCACTCGGTCCATCCCCCACACCTGCCTGCCTCCTTCAGCCCGGAATGATAGCGGCTAACCATTACTCTACTAAGCACTTACGGGGACATCACACTGTGTCCCTAGCTCCAGCCCCAGGAAGTACACGTCACCATGCCCATTACACAGATGACAAAACTGAGGCTCAGAGAAGCAAAGCTACTTGTTCAGGTTTGACAGCTAGGAAGTAGCTGGGCTGGGATTTGAACCAAACTTTCCTGCCTCTCTAACCACCAAAATGGCCTGATCTGCCCCACCTTCCGCCACCTACCCCTATAAGCAGCAGGTATAGGCCTGGGCAGAGAGGAGAGGGCACTGTGGAGGCCCCGACCCACACAGGGTTACATGGTGGTTTTATCAGTTGGAGTAGGGTTTGCAGTGGGCTTCACCACTTATGGGCCCCTGGGAACCCGCTGTCCCCGCCTGCCTGTGTCCCCAGTCCTGGGTTATCTGCCTGGACCTTCACACTGTCTCCTGAACCACACTTGAGCAGGAGGCCCCCTGGATGGGGGAGGGGAGAGATTTGGGTTCCCACGCCCTTGGACATTTTAATTGTCAACATTTAGGCTCCAGAGCCCAAGCCAGTCCCTGACCCTGATCTGAGGCATCGTCGGGTCCCCAAGACTTTTTGGGGTCTCAGCACTCCACTGGGTCCCTGGATCTGAGAACTTGCTAATCTTGACCACTGTGGTGGGGCCAGCGTCGCCTCCAGCCCGGGGGGAGTGTGACAGGGAAGTGAGAGTATCTTACCAGCCCCAGGGAAGGCTGCACTGAAGACCCCCTCAATGGTTTCACAGCTACTGCCGTCACCCCCACACACTCGGCACTTGTCTTCCCGCAGGTCGGAGCCCAGGACCCGGTCGCAGCCCACGTGCTGGGGAGACCAGCAGTGGTGGGGGTTTCAGTGAGGTGCTATCCCTCCATCCCCCCATCCCTCTCCCTCTCTCTGGGAGTCCCCTCCACCTTGCACTCGCCGCTGACACAAATGTCCACCGTGTCTGGGCGGCAGGGTGTCCCATCCACCACGGCTGCTGCCCTCTCCGTGTAGAAGTTGAAACCTTCTGCTAGGCAGGTGAGCGAGCAGGCCTTCACGCCCCCTGGGGGGCATGGTCCCATCAGACCAAGGGCCAGGAGGCCCTGGGGCTCCCTGCTTGCTCCCTGGGGGAGGTAAGGCCAAGAGGGACAGACCCCAGATCCATGAAGACTGGGCAGGCTAGGTAGACGGAATGGGGGTTCCCAGCGTCCAGTCTGGCACTCTGGCTCCTTGGGCGAGAGGAGGGCTCAGGGCAGACCCCATGGTGCTGTATCCACCTGCTGTTGGATGCTCCCATGGCTTCCCAAGGCCCAACTCACCTCCTCGGTATGTTTTCCACGTGTAGAACTTTC